CTCAGTGAAGTCCTTGGCACGAGGCTTCTGCTCATTAACTTACCTGAGGTGGTGGAAACATCAGCTGTCAGTCATCGGTGTTGTTTTCCACGCACTCACATTTTGGACCGATAAAGATCCGTCAAAAAGAGACGATTTCCTCAAAAGTTCCTTGAATTCTTTTAGATAAGAGGATGAGACAGGCAGGTGATTTGTCAAACTGTAATAAGTAAAGGTGGTGTCGCAGAAGGAGAGAGATGAATATCTCAAGGGGAACATATTTCCTTCAATATGATGCTATGATTTATGTGCGCTAACACATGAGGAGGAGAGCGACCACATGGCTGTGATGCACATGGTGAAATGATAATATTGACGCTTTAATCATCCACCTGCTGTCTGCAGTGAACAGACGATTTACTGCTACAGCTAGTTGTACTCCAACCAGAGCTGGATTTACTGAGTGAGAGATGAGACAATAGAGAATGCAGAAATTTACTACAGTCCAGATGGCAACACGAACAACTCCCCTTTTAACTGAGCTTTGTCATTATATTAAACAGCTTACAAGGACTCAATGAACTGATCCACTCTTTGATAATCATTAAATTGTAATAAGCCTACTTTTTATGATTGATGTTTCACCACTGCGAGTTGTTATGCAGTTTTAAAGTTTTATTTCTTTTCCGACTCAAACTTTCCTGTCAATCAAAAGTCACAATAACCAGGAAGTGAACCTATGGAGTGTACACCTGTAAATTGACGATCCAGTAGCAAATCCTCACTTGTTTTCAAAGGGCTATAAACAGAGGTGTATTACTTCCATTTGTATTGTTTCTCAAACAGTAGATACATTTTTAACTGATTATATTTATTGGCCATATTCCTGCTGTGACCATCGTCTTGTGACATTTCACTCAGGGTAGGAAACTTGTGTTTGTTTGTTTACAATATTCTGAATAACTGTGTTCATTTTACTGTTATATGTACTTCTCTGTTTACCTCATATTGGATCTATTGTTGTAGAGGAAGTTGGGGCAAGTGTTGATTTTACATTTTGGGTGGGTGGTGGGATTTTGGTTGTGGGTGAGCATGACTGTGAGGACGGACACGTGATTTATTTCGTATATCGAATGTAATGTACATATCATATGTAATATATATATATGTAATATGGGTGACAGTAGGTCAGGAGGTAGAGTGGTTATCCAATAACTGGAAGGTCGGCAGTTCGATTCCCCCCATCCTGAGTCTGTCTGTTGTGTCCTTGGGCAAGACATGTAACCCACCTTGCTCCCAGTGTGTGTCCTCCACTGATGTGTGATTGTGAGTGTTATGCGGTGGTGGTCAAGAGTCACGTTTCCGTCAGTCTGCCCCAGGGCAGCTGTGACTGCTAAGGTAGTTTACCACCACCGGGGTGTGACTGTGTGAGTGAATTAATGATGTATCCAATGTAAAGCGCTTTGAGGGTCTCTGATAAAGCGCTATATGAACTCTGATGCATTATCATTATCATTATTATTATGATGATGATGTGGACTTAGGATGGACCCCAGGAAGACTAGTTTCTACCTGTAGCAACTAATGGGGATCCTTCTAAACAAATAAGTAATCCATCAGAAAATGTAAAGACCATATGACAGATATGTATCAGATAGATTAGAGACGTGTGACATAAAGCTGATTATAAAACCATTCAGACACTAATTGGATGTTTTATACGGCTGCTTTAAACTCATTCTCTGTGTGTCTGTGTCAGCTCTCCGTTTGGCATTAGAAAAGCTTGAGTGAGCTGTGATCCAATTAGTCAAATCCAGAGCCCAGACCAAAGGTTGGCTAGTCACTCAATTTGTCGGGTTTATGAAAGATTGACTCTTTTGTATGAAGTTATTTTGAATGGATGAACCAGCTACAGAATCTAAACCTGCACCTTTTCTGCAGCAAGGGCCATTTGTCATTTCTTGGCATTTATACACAGCCTGGTTATAAATATGCATGATTTTGAAGTGCACCATGCCATATTGGTGCTTGGAGGGTACACGCTGTACAAGTGCTTTCATTTAAATGTGCACACAGAATTCATTTCAGAAGTCGATGCATCCAAATGCATCAATCCTCTGACCTATTAGGGATTTTTCCATCTCATTTTGTGGATCTATGGGACAGCAGACTGCACAGTGATATTTACATTTTTCAGTAATCATCTGTCTTAGTTTTCCAGATCTCTCCTTCTTCCAGCAAGAAGGCAGGGAGAGCGTAATCCTTCCATACACACTACTTCTATAAACATCTGAGACCTAAACAAACAGGGTCCACAGAAAGTGTAAAGCTCCAGTTTAGGGAAAAAGTGCAAACAGGCCCTCGCATGCTGTCTAAATATCTTATCTTATCTTAATGCCTGGTTCCTGCAGTTCACGGCTCGTCACAACAAGTGGGATGAGTTTTAAGTGGGGAAGAGGCAAAGGGTCAGCAGAGGATTAATGGAAGAGCGTAAAGTATTTGGAGATAAAGATACGTATCATACTTTTGCCGTAATCTTGGTGAGGAAATATGTCCTGTTTATAAAGCATTGAACATACTGCAGCCTGAGGGTTTAATGCAGCTATTCATCAGGAAAATGAGCACAGAAAGAGACAGTCGAAAATGTGCTCCATGTGCCAGAGATCATCATTCCAAGAATATTTATGTCGACATTTTGTGGTTTTATATCTTTTTCAGAGGGGGATGCCAAAAATGTAGTCTTGAAAATTCAAAGTTTTCCAGGAATGAAAAGATTTATTCCAAAAATGCTCAAATCACTCCCAGAGAAATTGTTGAATTCAAAATCCAGTCCGCCAGGGAGCTGACAGTTTCGTTTGCTTTGAAATGAATAGCAGAATATTTGTTGTCTGTGCAAAAACGTTTTGGAAATAAGTTTCCAGAGACAATCTTGAACTAATTCACAAGCACATTCAGTATCTGAACCACACTGCATTGCATTTATAACCATCTAAATTATCATTCATTCATTAACTTTCCTTTTGATTACTGCTGCTTAAGTGTGAAAACAAAAAATAAACACGTTAATTTTTTAACTACAAGTGTACAAACACACGTGTTACTATAGTTCAAGCTGCCATGGCCGTGTACAGAGACAGCAGTGCTGCCATGAGGCGTCTCACACTAGCTTCAACATCATTGGAAGTGGCCAAAACTGTTTCAACAGTAAACAAAACTCACATTTCTTCACATAGAAACACTCTGAAGTAGTTCCAGGGGCTGCATTTGGTCAGACCTCTCAACATAGGAAATGAAAAGGTCAGAAGAAACATTTATTTTTTGGAGACTTTTTGTTCACCCTCTAACTATTAATATTCTGATTTGACATACAGCATGTCTTCAGTTACTATCCTCCTCATATTTTGCATATTTTCCCATATTTTCTGCCAAGAGGATCCCCACAGTTTTTTATCTGGTTGGACTAGCCTGTTGTTTAGTCATACTGATAATAGATAAGGAGGATCACTTTTGGAAGATATGGACCCTAACTCTTTATCTTTGACAAACTTCTACCTGTGAATTGAATCACCATCTTTCACTGTAGTCTTCTTTATTCAGTCATCAGAGCCCTCTTTTTAACATGGATCCACCTGTTTCTGTGCTAAAATGATACTTAGGGTGAGGTGCTCGCTAACAAGCAGGGTCATGTCAAACCTTTTAGACTGGGGTGGCCCAAACCTCGGCACTGACACTTCCAGGGTGGCATTAAGCATGTGAGGCCACACATCGATAAAAAGCATTTTATTTTTGCATCTGTGTTGTAACATCAGCCTTATAGTTTATTTGTTATAAGAAACTCAAACTAATAAAAGGTCAACTGAAGCTAAACTAAAATCAAAAAGAAATAGAAGTAAAAATGTGTAAACTGGTATGACCTTGGTCTTCTTAGAAACAAATGGGTAACAACACCCAGATTACCTCCATGCTTGTTCAGTTAAGTCTATGGCTGTCAGATTTCATATCCAGCAAACTGTTACTGTTTTCTATTAACCTGTTGCTATGATACTTGACATGCACGCACAGTATGTATACGTACAAGCAATTCATGCAGCAACAGTACAGACAGTTAGCAGACAGGGATACAAGAGCAGAGAAGAGGTTTGATGGGGACAGTGGATGCATGTAGCCTCTCCCCATTTAAGTGTGTGTGTGTGTGTGTGTATGTGTGTGTGGGTGGGTGTGTTTGTGTGTGTGGGCGTGTATGTGCGTGTGTGTGTGTGGGCTACAGTGCATGGCTCAACACAATGCCATCCACTCTCTCATCAGCACAGTGCATTTGAATAGCAAAGGCTACTGGGGCAGCGGTGGGTGGTGGAGGACAACGGCTGTGTGGTGCACTGTCTGCAGGATGAGCACTGGGTGACACACACACACACACAAACCAATGTTTATTTTATCAGTGACCTCAGTTTGCTTGCCCTTTTTTTGGGGGGGTTTCTGTTTTTTGCTTGTTTTGTTCTTCTCCCGATTCCTTTTGACATGGTTTTTGCTACACAGATTGGTCTTTTTCTCCCAGGCTCCTTGTTTTGTTTAGTCTCAGAGTGGAGGAAGAGGCTTAGGGTGATCCTCCGTAGCCACTGTGTCTCCCCCATCTCTTGTTGTGACCCCTGAACCCGCAGACAGTAGAAAAGAGGCTCTGGAAACCAACTTGGAAAATCTTCTACGGAAAAACATTGACCAATGTTCCTTCACATGCAAATCCCTGCTTTCCCCTCAATGGCACACATGTGACAGATTACTCAAGTAAATCATTTTTCCTCCATTTTTCCCGCTCTGATTCTTAAGAGGACGTGATCAACCCCCTTCCACCTCCTCCTCCTCCACCTCTTTTTGCCCTCAGCCCCTCCCCCTGTTTGCCCCCTTCCACCTGACTGGCCAATGGGACCAGACGGGCTTGTCTGGGCAGGGAATGACCACAGAGTGGGAGGGGGTTGGGATGAGTGGCTGGACAGGACCAAACACCTTGCCAGTCAGACAGAAGCAGAGAGGCTGAGGGTTTACACATTGAATTTGAGGAAATTTAACTTTGATTTTGCTTTTATAAGGACAATTTTATTTCTGGACTTTCAGGACTTTTCATTTGTTTTTTTTATCAATGGATTTATTCACCTGCAGGTGTGGCAGAGGAGAAGTCTGAACCTGAGTCCTGAAAAGCAAAGCAGAAGAAGAGGAAAGGAGGACCTTACATCTAAAAGAGGAGGAGGAAAATAAAGTAAACAAAGCCGGCTGAGTTTGGCAGCACAGTCACCTAACGGACGCACACATCCACAGACCTGCACCATGCCAGCTGGAGGACAGAGGTTTTCAGACATGGAGATGTTAGTAGGGATGGAGGACAAGCCTGCAGACAACGCCAGAGGCAGAGCAGGGAGCTGTGTGGAGTTTTACAACATCAAAGTAAGTTTCTTTGCTCTTTTGCTTTTCATGTGCTTCTTCTTATGACTTAAGCCTCGGATTTTAAACATGCCTGTAGAAATGGGTGAGTCACATTTTGCACAGGAAGTCTGAGAAAGTTCGGGAATTTCACCCAACACTTCACAGGTATCCACCAGAATGTGATTTCCCACTTATTGCACACACTTGTTGCATTTCTGAGCCGAAGAACTGTCAAAATAGGAATGAAATATCATCGGGCTCAGTCGCAGGATATCGACACGTCATGGAAAACTCATTATATTCCACACAGAACCCTCCCTCTGTGGGAACTGTTATGATGCTCACAGTGTGTGACGGTGTGCATGAGCTGGTGAGTGTGTGACCTTAAACTATGAGATCAGTTGGTGTACTGGTATGTAGCTCATCATAGTGGATGGAGCTCATGGATAAAATGAAGACGTGAACTTTACCACTTTGAAATCACCTGTTGATGTCTACCAGTTTGAAGTCCTGAGTTTAACATTTTGCTGAGACTATCTTTGATTTCTGGAAAAGAAAATTTACACATTTGGATGACACTTGGATCACTTGGAGGCACTGCACATTTTTGAAAGGGATATTTCCAAAAAAGCCATCTCTAATGCAGTATTTCAGAGCCAACATGTCTATTGGCCTAATAAGTTCATTGAACATTCACCCAACTATATTCGTTATAAAATGACTGTTGATTATTTGACTATTCTTAAATCAGCTGGTTAGAGTTAAAATGAAAGGTCATTCTTGCAGAAGGTGTAGTCAGTGCACCATTTTCTATGTCTAACTAGATAATAACTGCAAAAATTGAAATTAGCCAAACTAGAGTACTCCACTCGTCAATCAAAGTAGCAAAGTCCCGAATTAGTCTGACTTTTAGTTTGAAAGTGAGTAAAATGGTTTTGGTAGAAGGAAAATTATGTTGAAAGTCATTCTCAAGGTTGTCAGTACACAGGGATGCAGTTCACCCGTCCAAAATCAGCCACCAATCTTAAAATTTATGATCAAACCAGTACAGTGGTCCTTTAATTCATGGCATGGTTTGTTCAACATTTAAAATGTGAATTGTTTGCGTAGGTGGCTTTTCTAATTGGGGTTAGTTTGGTTTACAAGCTGAAAGTAAGAATAACTGAGAAATCCATAGTCTTCCTTTAAGATATCAAGACTTGTGGACCGAAAGTCTGCTGATCTGCACACTGTAGAAAAGCGATTAAGTGCAACAGCAGGAAGATAAGTCAGATCAGGTGACAAAATCACACAGAAAAACCTCGGCTAAGACACGAGCATTAGTAAGCTGCAGCCCAAGCACGCACTCATTCTGTTTTATTATAACTTGTATAACTTGCAGCTGGATCGGATCGTAATTATTGGAAGTGGAATCGGATCTGTATCCGATCAGGTTGTAACAGATTGCTGTCGAGGGAAAGTTGCACACCCCTAACAAATGATTAATCAGGGTAATTTCCTGACAATTCCATTTTTGCTGTGCAGTTTGGCATTTCAACATGGTGGTCTATAGGAATTCACTCACTTTTGAAGTTAACCCCAAGTGGCCACAAAAGGAACTGCAGTTTTAGACTTTAGTTTAATGACCTTTCATAGCAGACAAGCTAGGATATTATATTTACACGCTACTTTATGAAGCAGAGGTTACAGTGTGGTTAAAAGCATGAAGTAAACTTAGGAGCAGAGGTTGGAAAACAGTCAAAGACCACTTGAGTGTTGTCTCATAACCTTGGAGTATGTGTGTTTTTCATGCAGATTCACGCCCCCACATAGAAGCACCCATAAAATCAGTGTTATTGACGGGATAAGTTCAACCATTATTACAGCCACTTCACTGCGCTTATGGTAAAGCCAGCAGACCTAAAGAGATTTGTATGTGATTGGAAAGAGCTGAGCTGTTTGAGGAGGGTCTGAGCCAGCTGCCAGATGCTCAGACTGCCTCAGCGGTGGACGGAGCTGAACCTGCTGTTTTTTTTTTTCTAGTTCTGGAAAAAAAAGCCTTCAAATCTATCCTGGTAGAGAGGAAATGTTATATATGTTTAGGCTTTACTTAATGCTGCAGGATTTATCTGTTGTTTAAAGTTTCTCCCCTGGAGTTTATGAAACCTGTAAGAACTCATCTCTGTGAATCACGGCTACATATTTCAAACTCGACATCTTTACCTTCATTATTTGTGCTGCCGTATGCATTTTTATCCCTGTATGTAACTGTTGCATGATAAACAAATTTTTCCTCCAGATTTGAAGTGGAACTTTTTTCACTTCATCTGGTGTGCGTCCTTTTCTGACCCCAGTTCAAGTTTTCTGATGAAGGTATTCTGTAAGCAACGGATGCATTTGTTTTTTTTGCTGCACTACTTCCATTTCAGAGTTTAATTTGGGCATTTCCAACTTCTCAGAAGGTCCAAATCTAAGAAAAATCTTGAGATGTTTGTAAGTGAAGCCCAGAATATCGAAAGGCAGAATTCCTGCAGCAGTGTGCACTTCGATACTGGCAGACACGTTTGGAGAAAGTGCAGGAACATTTTAGCTTGCAAATACTATACGTAGAAATAAGTTCACTAAGTTCATGGCAGGTTTGTGTGTTTGGTTGTTTTTTCTTCAGGTGCTGTGATTAGAAGCAGAGATCAGTGTTTTGGATACATGAGGAGGTGTATTTCTTTATGTGAAGCTGTTTATGACCTCTTAAAAGTGTGTCAACAGAAAACAGAGCAGATGCACTCTTTATAAATTGTGTTTGAAACCCTTCATGACAGTCTGCTCCTTCACTGCGGAAGCTGTTTACTGTCAGGAGGTCAAGGGTGAATTTTTAAAAATAGCGTGATACCTGTTGGAGTCTGCGGCACGTTTTTGGCACGTTTGGAGGAGTTACTTCAGCTCCCTGTGCAGAGGTCTGTTTATGATCAGCTCTGGCAGCAGTTTAACAACACAATTACTTCTAAAGAAGCAGCCGTGCAGTATTATTGTAAAGCTAATCTGATACATTTAAAAGAAACACCAGCTATCCAAATGTTTCTGTGTTGTCGTCACATTTACATTTCTTTATGTCTTTGCCTCCCCTTGAATAAACCACCTTTGGCATTCACCCAAACTGAATGGATTACATACTTTCTACTAGTAATATAAATATTTATCAGCTTATAAAAACCATATATGTCAGACCCCATAAAGCCTTCTGACCTGATTTCCTCGACCTCCTCTTCAAAGGATAAAACAGTAGGTCATTTATCTATATACAGTATATATATATATATATATATATAATAATCCTGACATGACCTACTCTTTATAAATTGCCACAGAGCAAATAGACTGTCAAGGGTCATGTGCTTGGTGTAAATGACATTAACCGCCCTGAAATCTCGCGGGTGTGTCAGTGTTTTTTTCTCTCTTTCCCTCCTTCTTCTGTCACATGTGAAAAGCTGTTTAACTTTTTTTTGTAAATCAATCAGTGGCTGCTTTTTGTGCACACATGATAAAACTTGGTTGTATGGGATTACAGAAGCGTGAGTCTGGTGTACAGTAGTAGGAAGTCAGGTGGCATCACGTGCTGTCGCCCACAGACCGGACAGACTCAGAGGAATGCTGTTTTTGTGTGGAGTGAGACCGCCGGGCTGGCTCTTTGTTCGAAAGAAGGCTGAGGGGCTGCTGTGGTACGATACAAAACTCCAAAACTAGAGGCATTAGTGCCAGTTAACATACGTTTCAAGTAAGAATTAAAAAAGGATGAGACAAAATTTAATAAGAGGAAAACATCACATTAAAAGTGAGTCTTTAAAAGTGGATTTTAAGATGTCTCAACATTGTTATTATTCTAGGCAGGTTGTTTCAAAGTCATTCAGCCCTGATGGAGAGGCTGGTTCACCAAATGTAAACATTATCATGGCATGCTCTATATTTGTTCAGACTTGATTTTGTAAAAGTTGTAGCCGTAGTTTGAAGGTCAGTTTTGAAAAAAGTATTTGGTGGGACAACCCCCCCAAACAAGGACACACTAAGAAGATGAAGAACCAGTTACCAATGAAGAAATATACACACACACACACAAGCACACACAGTACATGCATTAAATCAGTCACGTGTGCACTTTCATAAAGAGGTTCTTAACCCCTTGGACCCTCAAACACACACACACACAGACACACACTAACACAGGGCTGAATATATACAGAGGCACCATACATGCCTAAGTACATATACAGTAAGGCTGATTTGTTATGAGTTTGGGGCCGTAATGATACACCTGCGAAAGCCTGGAGATAACTTTAATGATACACTGAGCGTCATGCCTGCTGAACTTCAAACTCTGTGTGCTTGTGTGTGTTTGTACATGTTGTTAGCTATTACCGATATAGCATCAGACCCCAAGCTCAGACTGTTGAACATTTATTCCCCACTACATCATACTGTTGTGAAACTTTTAAAAACTTTCCAGACTTTAAAATGATAGAGTCCGCATGATTTTTACATTGAATTATGAATGCTGTCCTTTGTTATCAGATAAACTGGACCGATAAGATCCTTTATTTAAGATGACGATATAGGGGCGAAGCTTAAACAGCCAAGTCAGTGGTTTCAGTCATCGGAAGACGCCTTGAATCTACTATTGCAGTCATTTTAAGCAAACTGGGTAATGTATTTTTTTTTATTTAAACAAGAAGAAACAACTGCTCATACAGCACTCGTTGTCGAGAAAGGTACGTTTATTCCTTTGCATGCTGCTATCTGTTCATATTGCTTTGGGCTTCATCACATGTTAATCCGATTGGATGTAGGTCTATACAATTGCTTCCAGATGCACTTTCGTATACAATTGTTGCAAACCTATTCACATAAGTAAATTGCGGTGATGCCAGTCTATTAAGAAGTACCACTGCATTTGACAAAAAGGAGTAAAAGTTGTCCAAAAGTAAGTGTTGAGTCACACATGGATAAGGTAAAGAGAGTGAGCACTACCAATTAATACAAAACAGTAGCATTCATCTGCAGATCGGAAGTTTAGTTACTATTGTGTTTAATCCTTTAGTGATGGGTTGACATCAACATTTGACATGAAAGAGACTCTTGGGGATTATTGATTGATGTTTTTACAGACATTTATAGACTTGCAAACTCTGCAGAATATGTTGGCACTGTTCAGCATAGTTTTGGAGCTGCTGTGAGGGGCTGTGAGGACAGCGAGGTGAGTTGTAGCTCTGAGCTGTATTTGAATAAAGGGTATATTTTGAACATTGATATCAGAAGGACAGGGAATGAGGGACTGAAGCACACTGTGTGAGACTGAGATTTATCGTTGAGTGTTATCATCAGAAAAAGTATGCGCAAAAGTAGTGTTTTCTGAGGACAGATTTCCCTGTTTCTCAGGCAGTCAACCAAATCTTTGATGCCAGAAATGCAGGAAAAAAAAGTGATTTGGCTGCACGATGTATTTTACCTTGTCTGACCCAGTGGTTACAGATAAGACATATGACTGTGTCAAAACAGTAAATCGTCTCACTGATGTAAGTCATATGGAGGCATCAGTAATCATTCCAGTCTGTTTTATAGCAGCTTAAACACCCTACAGGAGCTTGAAAAAGGTTTGAGACTTGTTCTGAAAAAAATCACAGACTTTGCTCTAATTGCCCAAAACACGACTTGGTGTTGCAATGACGTAAAACTTACACAATCAACCCTTACTCCAGTGACCAAATTTCCCCTATCAGAACCAGTAAATGGCTCATCATATCTGATCTTATCTTATCTTCTCTGGAAAGATGTGAAAACTTGACTTGCACTTGCCCTCAGGTTGTTGAAACTTGACTTAAACTTTCTTTCACAACACTGAAGACATCTCAGCTCACAATTGAGGTGTTCACTCCCTGTGGCCAAAGGCTTGTCTGTTTCCTTAAAAACCTGAGACTTTTAAAAGATTTTCCCTCACGGGTGGCCGTTCTGGCTCAGCTCAGCATCTTTACATGTCATCCTCAGAGATTTGCTTCACCAAAAGAGAGTAGGAGTGAGGGATTCAGTGTCAGGCCACATTAAGTCTCCTGAGCTTCAGATGCTGGTCGTGACACGGCAGGTTGTGAAGTCTGAGAAGTCCGGGTGGCGGCAGGAGGTATTAGGCCAGCTGTAAGAGGGAGGATTATGTCCCAGTGACCCCAGGTTCCCAGGTTAGAGAGCAGGAGGTGAAGGAAGAATGTGGATCAGGGTAAAGACACAGAAAGAGGGGAGAAAATGTTTGGTAGGTAAGGAGGGAGGAAAGGACTGGAGATGAAAGGAAGGAACGACGGGATACAAAAGAAGGATAAAGTTTTGATGAGATGGCATTTGGCGGGGTGAACTTTTACAACTTTAGTGAGAGATGGAGCTCCCTCTGCTGCTGTGTGTACGAATTAGAGAAAAATGTGATAATTAAACCTAATACTATAACTACAACCCAGTCAATTGCGAGAAATTAACATCAAGATCAGTAGTTTTTTGAGAAGAGATGTTTGTCACAGACTAGTCATCAAAAAGATCAAATGCCTGGCATCTAAAGGTTTATTTTTTTCCATCAGTAAAATCAAATCCAGTCCATTCCAATCAATCAAGTCCAGCCTAGTCCAGTCCAGTCCAGTTCAGTCCAATCCAATCCAGTTCAGTCCATTCCTTTCCAATCCAAACCATTTTAACCCAGTTCAGTCAAGTCCTGTCCAGTTCAGTCCAATTCAATCCAATCAATTTTAACTCAATCCAAGACGATACAATCCAGTTCAGTCCAATCCAATCCAACCTAATCAAATCCAGTCCAGCACAACCGAACCCAATTAAAAACTAAAAAGTGATCCAACCCAAACCACTTTTTTTTCCCCTACGGAGTCTTTCATGCAAAAAAAGCATGCAGCCCAAAGTGTTCACAAAAAAGAAAGACAGAAAATCAATGATTAAAGAGATATATAAGAAAAAAGATAGTAAAATATTTTAATTAAAAAAGAATCAATAATTAACACTGATAAAAAGTAAAATGAGATGTATAAGTACTCCCAGACGACCATTTGCTCTGAATTATTTAATGTCAGTTTTTATCCCTGTTTAATTATTAAAAATCTTGTTTGTCCAAAAATCCATACCAGACAGACAGGCCATAAAGAACTGGAACACCATTCAAGATAGAAACTAAAAAACTCACACATGTAAAATGATTATTTAAAAAATAACTATTTTATAAGCAGTCATGTTTATGTTACTGCCGATTGGTTAACTAGCCAACAATATAATGTTTAGTGGACGGGCGGACACTGGTGCGGCAGTTTGATTTGTCATCCTGTAAACTGGTGACTTTTAGCTTGTGTAGTTGTGTGCGCTACACCGACTCTACACTGTTGCTGTGCCACGGTGGCCAACGCTGTGCCTAGCACTATATACTTGAGCTCTTTAGTTGTTATTCTTTAGGTCAATTGTTATTTTTCCACCTTTTCCACACAATAACAGCATTTTGTTCAGGTTAGGAAAGCAGGGTACCAATTAAGTAATTTTCTTTGATGGTTATGATAGAATGTAAACTCAAAGAAATCCCTCTCCGTTCAGCGCTTTCAGCATTTTCTAAACCCGCCTGCACACACTCTCCAGATTCAAACAGTTGTAAAAATTCCTGTGATGATAAGTGCAGCTTAGAGACTGAGGAGTGTGTGCATATGGCCAAACAACATGTCACTCAATGTGTTTCTATGGCAACACCACCAAACACAACAGTTCCCCCAATCAGGAAGTTGATCTTTTGAGGGCTCTGTTGTGGATGAGCTCGTCCTGATTGTTTCCAGAGCTTTAGAGGAGATGGAAGATTAGAGTCAGACTTTTTTCTCTGTTATTGTAGAGTGTGAGTAAATGTGTGTGTGTGTGTGTGTGTGTGTGTTCGTTGAGAATTTGTGTGCACTCTGAAGTCATCCATGAAGTTATTTGGTAATTAGGTTTGGTTATTTCATGGGTTTCTGAGGGTGACCCTGTGTAAAAACAGGCACAGGCCTATTTCGATCCCTGCTGTTTGAAGTTTCAACTCAAATATACAGAATTAACAAAGTGTGGGAAACCTGATAACATTGTTGGTTTCAGTTAGGCACAAAACAGGAACGTTTCTTTAAAATTATGTCCATGGTAAACTCAGACAAATACGACAGAAACATACCCAGATGAAAAGGTTTTACCGGGGCACAAAGCTTGAGTGAATGATGTGACAGAAACAGACATAAATTCAAGAAAATTTCTTAAACCATTTATAAACCTAAGATAAATTTTAACTAAGATGATATAAAAGGGAAGAAAGACAGTATTATGGATGTTATATATTTTACTATGAGCAGGAAATGTGGTGAGACATAGAAGGAAAAATGTTTTTTCAAAGGCTGAGGAGAGTTCAGGTCAGTCGCTCGCAGACAACACAGGCGCAGCAGGGTTTTGGAATCTTCTGAGCATATTTCTGTCGCTACATAAGAGTGCACAGACTTTAATGTTTGCCCCATAAACACTGCAAATTGGACTGATTTTTAATGTTTACAAGACAAGCAGCTGCAAACTTCTGTAAAAGGATCAAGGATTTATTCATACAAAAATGTTTAAGAGATGAAGCTGATTTTCTGTACTAGTTTTGCATTGATTACTTGGCGAGTTGGTCATTGTATACAATCCAATGCTATCTGATGTAATTGGATATGAAATGATACAATACAATAAGGTCTACTTTTTTGTGCTCAGTAAAGATGCAATGAGCATCTTTTCTTTCAGCCTAATGGCTAAAAACCACAGGATCTGGAACGGCTGCACTCCGATCTGGTCCAGATACGCACAGCTTCATATTTTGCCAGATGCCGCAGCACGGCACATCAATTCAGTGCAGCGCAGCACGAGCAGCAGTGGAAGTTGTATGCAGCTACAGAGTAAAATATCTGGTTAATTTTCAAAATAAAATGAAGTCAATACGTTGAACTGTTCCTAACTTGACAATAGGAGAGGCCAGGGTTGTGGGATGTGGGTGTTTATATAAACTGCCGCCTATATACACTGGTCTCGGTAATTTCGCAAGTGCTTATCCTCCGATGGTGGAGGCAGATTGGATCCTGTGGGCGCTGTATGCTTGCGTATTTGATCTGCCTGCCGGTCCGGAGTGGAGCGGAGCTGTTCAGGATCCAGTGGGATTCCCGGGTAATCCCCTAACCTTACCACCGTGCTGCTGTTTGAGCTGTTCAAATATTTTTAATAGATTTTACACAAAATGCAATGAACAATGTTGCAAAACAATAAACCATGTAATTATTGCTCATCCAACAGTAATGAGACGTGATATTTGTCAGTGAGCTTTAAGACAAGATAAACTGGATTCATCCTATGGTGGGGAAATTTGCAGTGTTACAGCAGCAAAGGATTTTATTCTGAATAAATGGAAGTTGGGACAAGCTGGAAGTGAGAATCTCATGTTAGTGATGAATTATTGCAGTATTTAGTAATGTGCTGTGTTATCTCTAAATTGAGTCACTTTTGCGTGGTTGCTGCTCACCTTTTTTGTCTCCACTTTTTGTCACAATTTTCAAAGCTTGATGAGGGTTACTCTAGGACATAAACCTAAATACATTTTTCATCCTCCATGCACACGGGTACAAGAGCTCAGACAATCAGCAGTGTGAAGACTAACATCAGACAATTCTGAAACCACACAGAGCTTCCTGTCTTGTGTTGGTTTGTCTGCCCCGATCTTTGTTGTGCCAGCTGAATCTCATCTTACTGAAGGTTTCTTTGTCTGATAAGACCAATAACCAATCTGTTTCTTTGATTTCTATCAAAATGTCAGCACGCCAATGACACCTGAGCCTAAGTCGTCCTGCGCCATCCCCTGTGCATGGTGGTTGGCCTGTATTTTCAGATAAATCTTGTGGTTAATGGTACTGTTAACAGGAAAGCTTGAAGATTACTGATTGCTTTTTGCACAGAGGTTCTCTGCAAGATTGTGGCATGCATTGGTTGAAGGGAAAATATTATCTTCATATTTAATCTTTCTCACCCTTAATTTTTTATTATCTCCTCCCCCCAAACATTTCACAGTTCCCCAGGGCTGTAGCATCATGTGTTTTTATTGAAGGGCAAATGTGACTCAGTGAAATGAAACTTAAGCATGTATAAAAGTCGATCAACAGCTAACTGAACCTTAAGAATAAGTGCTTTAAATGCTTTTGTCTTTCTTTCTATCTCTTTTTATTTAGTTTTGTTAAAGTCTCCCTCTCGTCCAAGTAATCTAGAAGTCTGTATTGAAGAAAAAAAAACAAAGAAAAAGACAAGTGGCTCAGTTCATCAGTTATTTTTAGTCCTGGGCTCCTTCGATGCTGCTGTTTCTCCTCCACAGTAGCTGCAGTTCTGCTATGGCAACACGGGCTCTAATGACCAATGTGAATGCTTACATTAGTCTCTGAGTGTGTGTGTGTGTGTGTGAGTGTGAGTGTGTGTGTGTGTGTGTGTGTGCTCAAGTGTGTGTAGTTAACTGTGTGTCCCTTTGCCCCTTTATGGCCATCTGCCAAGAAATAAACACAAGTGTCCATTAGTGTCTGTCATATGACCATCTTCAAAGATAGAACACGCACTCCTTCATCAAACACACACACACACACGCATACTCTGGTTTCACGGCAAAGCTAACTACTCCTATCTTTGAACTTTTGGTTAAATTCGATCCTATAATGACTTTACTGTGAAAAAGTAGTGGTTATGACAACCATCAGTATGAAATGATAAGTGCAGAGTAACAGAGATCTTGCAGACTCAAATAATCTGCTCCTTCTGTGCAGGTTGGGATGAATACAGTTTACAAGAGAAGCATCAGATACCCTCAGAAATGGTCATTATGCCTATCTGTAAAGGTGCATTTCAAGCAATTACAATACACATCAGAATCTGCAGAAAATCTGTGTGGTTAGGGTTTTGTTTAGTAAATTCTTATGCCAAAGTTTTTGTCTCTGATCTTTTTTTATGACTAAAATGAGACAATACCTGAATAAAAACTGATGCTCAAAGACAAAAACTACAGCTGAGGCAAAAGTGCAAAACACCTCCACTTTAATTTGTGTAAATCAGTAAATCAGAGAGGACAGCTCACTAGCAATGCATTGTGGAAGCAATTCAAGGCTTGATTGTCTAATTATGGTAAAGTACACAAGTTAAATTGGTCAGAAATAAACATCTGGTACAAACTTAATACCAAGTTTTGATTGGTTAATTATATTAAAAAGAGAAAAAAAGAGACACAAATTTAAGCAGAGCATTGAACTTGTATAAACTACCTGCCTCTAGTGTTGGATTGTATACAATGGCCATTTATATTGCATCCTGCTTCCTAAGATTTTCAACCAAACTTTTGCACAAAGGTAGACCATTATCTGTTCTTTCACCATGTAAAAGGACGAAAAGTTCATCATTCTCTTCAGTTCCAGAAAAGCATGTGTTTTCCTCCGTTTCAGTAAAGTCGGATTTGGCGAGGGAACACAAAGTTGAAAAATGCTGAAAAGCTCAATCAACCGCTCTCATTTTTCATTATAAATCCCTGGATTTACCGGGATCTTATTTCCTGTTTTTGCTTTGGTCTTGCTCTGGAGTTGTTTAGTCTTGGAAGCAGTATGGTATTTTGCATATTTGTAGAGCACCAAGGAGTAAACTCCCTCCTTAACTCGACCATCTTTTCTCAACAAACATCCAAAGACATAGACCTCAAAAGTGGGTCACTTTGAAATACAACAAGACACTGACCTAAATGAAGAAAACTGATATTAGTTTGTTAGCAACGTGTTCAGTGATGAAAATTGTATTCTGATTGGTCCAAACCCCTCAATAGCAAGCAGCTCTTAAAAGCAAAAGCAATCACAGAATCATATCAAATCAACCCACGCATAGAAGTTTAGCACTTTTTTACTCTGTCTGTTGACACTGTGGCAAAAACGTAGGCATCCATCTCAGGCTGGTTTAGGGAGTCAGGTGAGGAGCTAATGGACTTCAACCGTCTCTGATAGGTGGTGTGATGCTGCGTTCCAGTTACCTTGGAAGTCGGATGTCGGAGCTGGGAATGACGTTACACTCGAGTGGACGGCATTCAATCAATCAATCAATCAATCAATCAATCAATCAATCAATCAATCAATCACTTTATTTCAGTTATTCCAGTTATTAAGCCAAGAAAACCAAGATAGGCGCCTACTGTTAGCTGTTATTAGCTGTTGTTAGCTGTTGTTAGCGGTTGTCAGTTGTTAGCGGTTGTCAGTTGTCGTTGGCGGTTGTCTGCTGTTGTCAGCCGTTGTAAGTTGTTAGCTTTACCAGTTGTAAACAACACATAACACAGTATTTTACTCTTACAAACACCATAGCACTGTGTTCACAGTTAGACGTTGGGCAGTACAACATATACCACTTATTAAATTTCACCAAAACAAAACAGAAGTGCTCATAAATAACACATTATGAGAGCTTTCACTCTTACTCTTTACTGTTGATGCACTGTGCTGCCATCTTCAATTATGATGTTGTCGTCAAGTCGGGATTGGCGAGGATCGTCTGACCTTCCGAGTTGGAAATCTGACTTCAGGAGGGAGCTCCAGATGAATTTCCGACTCTGAGCTTGGAAATTCCGACTTTTGAGTACAACTGGATAAGATGCAATCCAGGCAACGGCAGCAGAGCAGGTGAAAGTGCTCTGAGTTGCTAATCATGACCCAGTTATTTAACCCATTAGCTGCAGTGATAACAGCAACAATGCTAAAAGTCATGACATTTGCCTCATTTATTTTTAAAGGCGTCTCAGAGACAAAGTTATAATAAGCTGGTTGTCTGCCACCTACCCCTCGCACTGGTGTGAAGCTGCAAAAATGACAGTACAGTAAGTGTCAGTCTTGTTGCTTATGGTCTCATTTACTTGTATGTTTCATATGAAGTCATCAGTTGAAACATCAGTCCATCACAGGAGCAGTAAACACTTGAGGTACTGCGCTTTGTGGGTGGTTTCTGCACACTTGACTCTCAGCTGGCTTTGTGAAGAGGAAAATGTTCATGTTATTTATCCTACCAATGAATATCAGGTCATAGGTTTTAATCTGCCTTTGTATGGTGCAAAGAGATGGAAAGGAAGAAAGCTCTACATAAACTCAGTCCATTTTACCATTTACAAAAATGAAAGTTCAACACATTCATCTTAAGACTGGGGGCAAAAATGAAAGTTATGAAAATAGTTTAAAACTTTCCTCTTGTAGATATATTTTACTTTGTATATCCTCTCTGCTGAAACAAAGCAGGAAATAAAAATGTAATATTCACAGAAAGACCATTAAAAATCGTGTCTCTGATGTAAGCTGTTGAATTTCTTAAGACTGAAAGTTGTACGTCAGAGTTGCTGAGGATGACGTCGGATTAAAAACACGACTCTGATTCAAAAGTTCATACACATGTTTACACAGCAGGGTGGTTATGTGTCAGGGCGTCAGGCCAGCAGTCCTGTTATCTCCAGCTGGCTGTGGGCCGCTGCTGCACGTTTCTCTGCCGCTTTGTTTTGACAGGACACATGACTGAATGTGCAACCGAAAGCAATTACTGCGCTCACTGTGCTCCTACTGTACGGAGCTTAAAAATAGCTGCAGGCGTTCCCTCGGAGCAGAGAGCGGAGTGTGTGTTTCTCTGCCATTTACACTTCTTTCTAACTCTGAGTGTGTGTGTGTGTGTGTGTGTGTGAGTGTGTGGAGCCATGTGTTCAGTGTTTGTGTGTTTGTGTGTGTTCGTAGCTTAAAGCGGGTTAATTGTGGCTAGAAAATGGAAAAAGTTCAACATTGAAATTCTGGTCCAGATCCTGGTTTATTTCTGGCTATGTGCAGCCAAGACGTGCCATCTAACCTCATCAAGACACACACAGGCACACACACACACACACACACACACACACACACACACACACACACACACACACACACACACACACACACAAGTGCCTTCTAATAAAATCCAGACTGTTCCTCCTTTTTACTGCTGTTTGGTGAAACCACACTGGAAAAAGATCCTGTCAAATTACAACTTTCGGGAGCCGCTCCCTCAGCCTCCTTCAGGTCGGCTTTTTCTTCTTTTGTTCTGTGCAAGAAGCTTTAAAACTTCCATCCACGTATAATGTCACTAATAAACAGCCAATATGTGATCAGATGTGATGTTTAATATCAGGAGGACAGAGCTGCTGATCAAAGTATCACCTTTAACCGTGTGTCTATCACCCCATAAGCCTTTGCTTATCTCTTCTTATGTGTGAATAAAAGTGTGATATTGCAGCTGTAGCTGTTAGAAGCACTTCTGCTGTATGAAGCACTTATTATTGTCCGTTAGTACACGATTATTGTGGTAGATGGTAAATAAAAACAGGGCCTAGGACAGATCCTTGAGGAACACCTTTTATTTAATAATAGTAGAAGCTCTGACTGAATATTCTCCAATTTCACACACTGAAGTCTCCATTTGAAAGCGATGGAGTCAAGGCCAACATTATAAATACTCTGAATGAGAAGAGCATGGTTAACAGGATAAAAAGCATTTCACAAATCAAATAAAACATACCAATACTGGAAACAACATTATGAACACCTAATGCAGTAGCAGGAACAGTGCTGTGCATGGGTCTGAACCACAAATCACGAAGTCGAATGCAGATCTTTTACTTTTAGTGGAGCTTTTTTAAAGTCTGGCGTCGCTGTTTTGACTTCAGTAAATGATCTCAATGTCTTTTCCATCACTTATGATATCCTGTGTTAAGTCTCAGCACTCATTAGACCCCACTTCTTCTGTTTGCTTAATCCACAGACCTCTAAAGTTGACCAATGACCTTTGACCTCCATTTACCTCTGTTCATAAAGTTTATAATCCAGGTGAGGAGGCTCATCCTGCACCTTTGGTTACATTTTTGGAAAAGATTTAATAACATAAAAAAAAGGATATATATTGTTGTAACTCCAGCGCTTGGCTGATTTCTGCATCGTCCACTGACCTCTCCCTCCCTCTAGTTGGAATGCAGGCTCTGACCCATTGACCTTTGACCTCTACAGGCTGATAAGAAGTGTCTGGTAGTGATAGCAGCTCACACACAGGGTCCCACCATCACCGACTGACGCACTCACACTACACACACACTCAAACACCATGAATGCATACGCACAAATGCAGGCAGATGGACTTTACAATCATTACTGTCTCCTGTGAACGCACACACACACACACACAGACTTAAACACACACACACACCATTAGTGATAAAAGGCAGGGGCTGCTGACTGAAGCGTACATAAACACACTCATCCCCTCCTCTAAACACCACCGCTTAGCCTTTCTCTCTCTGCTGTGTGTGTGTGTGTGTGTGTGTGTGTGTGTGTGTGTGTGTGTGTGTGTGTGACAGAGAAAGAGATCTGCCATGAACCCTCCTGTGCTTTGACTCTTTCTTTCCCCCTGCTGTACGTCCACACACAATATTCAATGACACTTTCATTTGAATCAACTTTGTGTTTGTTTTTGCATATTTAGGGAGATGCTCTGAAAACTGATCCACTCGGTCAACCAAATAAATGCTTATGAAATAGTATATCACGTCAAATCATGTGATTATTGCAAAAAAAATTGAAGAATAACTGGAAAATCTGCCTCTCATGCAAATGTTTCCATTGTTTGTGTTATAAAATAGCATGATTAGCTTTTCTTTGGTGTATATGAGATGCTTTTTCACTTTTATTCCCCATCCCATATGAAGTTTCACTCAATGGCAGAGAAATGTCTTACAGAGGTTTGTATATACAGTCCTTTAAGTAAAGACTGTGATAACAACAGACAGACTTTAGGTTTGGGTCTATTTTAGTGCCACCCGTAGACAAAGCAGTGTCTTTTTGTCTTCTTTGTGCTTTTTTTGTGGCTTTTGAGAAAAAATATCTCATCCTGCTGACTCTTGACAGTCAAATGTATATTTTTTAATGAATATTTTAAGTGGAAATTGTAAAATCAGGGCTGTTTCTTTAGCTGTTCAGCTGACACCTGCCTCCTTGCACCAGTTTCAAGCATTGAAAATTACAATCTACTTTTCTCCTTGTTTTTCTCCCTTTCCAATATCCTTTCTTCAAATAAAGTCCATAAATGAAAGTCCAAAAGTAAACCTAAAAATGAAAAATCGCTGTGCAAAAGTTATACAGAACTTGCAAGAATGAAATGCAGAACAGGATTGTAGGAATTCAAAGTCCGATCCAAAAGGAATCTGGACTCGCCCAGAGTTTTTGAAATGTTCAAGAACTTTATCCAAGTCCATTAATCCGACCCATGACCTCGAAGGTACATTACACAGGAATATTTACATCTCCAATCGTCCTGTGACATTTTGGAGGAGATTCTCTGAAAATGGATCCACTTGTGTACAAATAAATATTTATCTGGCTTCACTTCAGAGTCACATCACTGTCAATGTTACAGGAGAGCAATAACTGAAAATATCTGTCTCTCACAAAGATTTTTTCCATTGTTTGTTTCAGGACTTTCCGTAAAACATGAGAAGTGATGCCTTTTCCATTCCTCTTTATGTGTTAGGGTCAGGCAAGGAAAGTTTATGAAGCTTATTTCAGCTGCGGTTTTAAATGGCTGTACATGATGTTCTTCGTGTCAAGAGCAACATTCAATTATGTCATAGTGGAAGAGAAAAGGTCATTTCGATGGACAAAACATGTGTAAGTGTGCAGTAAGAAGCTGCCAAGAATTAATATTTTTATCTACCCGTTCAGTCGAAAGCATGCAGAAAGAATTTAGAGCTGCATTACATTTGATTTACTTTTTTGCTACTTGTGAAAAGCAGAAAAGGAAATCATCACAGACATGAGCGAAGTACAAAGTGGAACTTTAAGAAACTACTTAAAAATTCCTGCAGGCTGAACTTTCATACTGGACCACAGAGGTCCACTGGTTCACTGAGGGAGGTGGCGTTTCTAACAGTCTAATTATGTGCTCCACCTTGTCAAGCTGTCAGACGCTGTGTTGCCAGGTCTGATGAGGTCAGAGGTTTTAAACCCTCTCAGAGGGGCTTAGCTGATAGACCGGATATGAGTATATATCATCTCCCTTTGTCTGGTCAGCAGCATTATTACCTTGACTGCTGGAGGTGGTTTGAATGATTACCATAAACAATTCCCTTTATATTCCTTAACATAGCTAGACAATAACCTTTTTCACAAAGAGCACATGTGCTTCTAAGTTGAAAAAGTAAGGAGCACACAAAGAACTTTAGGGGCACAATGAAAATTGATCAAATAATGTGTGTCTTATTGTCCAACATAAGTACTGTTATTTGAAATCAGTTTTAGGTCAATTGGTCACATGACATGGAAGCTTTTGAAGGAAAACAGCCTTTTTTTGAGAACATCAACCATTCATTTATTGATGGTCCCTTACATAACACCTGACGTTGACAGCAAGGGTGCAGAGTAGATGTAACCACGCTGCTGTTGCCATTCCCGGTTATGGAGAGTAAGAAGTCACCAGTAGATCCACAGTGAATGTCCGTCGAATGTCCAACCTAAAACTAACTTCACCACGGTATTTACATGAAAAAACATTTGTTGCGTCAGCTGATATTTTTTATGCGCACATGTGCCCATAAATAGAAATTACAATTTGCTCACATCTATTTTTAGTTGCAGATGCGAGTGAAACGGTCGTACTGTCAAACCCTGCTTAATTAAATAAGCATGATGTTCTACCTTATGTCAAAAAACTGACATAAACTGTAAATTCCCCACTGGAGTTTTAAAACAATAACAAAGACGATGACCTTAAAATCTAAAACAGAGGTACAACTCACCAAGTTTACCTTTTCTGTCAGTGTTTCTCATTAATCTTGACAGCCTCAAGCACTCTTTTGTGACAGAAATGCACTACTCTCACTTGTTAGCCTGGCCCGCTTGTGCATTTGTGTAGCAGTGTGCTGAGTTCAGTCACGCTCACCTCCATGAGTGATTGAAAACACTGTGGCATGAAGCGCAGAAGGCTTTTGCTGATTTGGCTAAACCAAATATCTTCTTTGCAACCCATTAGCTGCATTTTCTTCTCTCCACTGTATTTTTATCCACACTGACTGAACAACTCCACGTATTTTGGCAGGATTATCCCTTTAGATGCCTCAGGTACTGTATATCTGATGCACGTGAGGAGGACTGTGATTGTGACAGATCAGTGCATGATGGGCTGCTCTCTGGATGTATCAAGTTAGTACGCTGTGTTGTTCCCATCCTTCCTTCCCTCACACTTTAAAAACAAAACTGTTAAATTTGCCATCATTTCATTCGGTCAACATCTGTTCAGGGTTTAAAAATCTTTTCGTGTGGTGCAGCCTGAAATTTTTCCCAGATTGGAGGCGGCTACATGCACACTGTTGTCCAGCAGACTTATCCAAAACATGTCTTTTGTGTTTTACTTCGATCCATCATCATCCCGAATTTTCATGAAAACATCAGCCGACCTGGAAACGTGTAAGAGCGAGCTCCTGCACGCTGCCTCTGACTCATGCTCTGATCCTCTGCAGGAGGTCAAAGAGAAAGAGAGCGATCCCCGCTTCAAGCTGTCGCTGACATTTCAAGCCTGTCAGGACTTTAGAGGAAAACGTGACCGCTTTGTAGTTTGAAATCAAATCTTCTCTGCTCTCTCCATTATGCTGCTCAGATGATTTAACGGTGACCCATGAACCTATAATAGTGGCTGCCTAAAGGGATATTTTTCTCTCTTAACAAACACACAAAAAGGCTTTTGGATCCTAAAACAACTTTCCTCTGCTTGGATCAAGAAGTCTCAAAACGTCAGCCAAAAATCACAAAGAATGAATGCAAACATTTCCAGACAGCGTGATGATCCAACATGATTACATCAACAAATCTGCGTACCGGTGAACACAAACATCCTGTCAATCAAACATTCAACCGAGAACATCCGCAATGAAACATCTGCACTCTAACAATAGCTGCACAAACAGCTTCTTATCAAACGGAGTTTTATTTCTTTTGCAGGGTTTATGTTGCAACACGGGGCTGTGAAAGACTGAATATTCATGGTGGTGAAACGTGACTGAGTCCTGCTGGAGAAAAGATAATTAGAAGTCGACCTCCATAAGGAGATGTCACTGTGGAGCTGATGGGGTCATGAGCCTGCAGGACTGAGTCTGAAGTTTCCAGTATTCAGACACAGACTGCTGTGAGACAGTGTGGCTAAGTGAATCTTTTGGTTCTTGATTGAATTAGTTTTTTATGTTGTTTTTCCAAAAGCCCAGATACTGCAGTGTTGAGCTTTTGTGTATCAGTGTGTTTTTAATAGTTTTTGTCTTATCTCAACAACAAAAATAGAGCCAAGGAGCCATTCTTACTTTGTTTGTACTGCCATCAAAAATGTTATATAATGCACAATAACTTTAGAGGCTCTCTTTGATCGCTATCCCCTGCAAATTTGCAGTTTTCATAACTTTTACAAACATAAATTTCTCTTTGGCTTGCTTTTTTTTATTCACAAAGTCTTCCCTAAATACAGCACATTAAATTATGAGCAAAAATAATTTATTCTAAAAAATGCAGAGCATGCATTTTAAATGTGTAGAAATGTACATTTAGATGAACTTTTAGACACTCAGACATGGACATAACAAGCCCTAATTTGAAATTTTCTGGCGTTCCCGGGTGCCTAAGCCATGTTTGGCTATCTTCCTTGACTTCCTGGGCGGTATTGTTTCTGGCCTTGCTGTAGCTTTCTGTATATTGTGTTGTTTTACTTTTACATCTCAAAGTTATACCGTATCTTTCAGGCAATAAGGTGCACTGGATTATACGGCCCACTGTGATTTAATGTGTCTATGTTCACACAAAAGGCGCATTGGATTGTAAGGCGCATTAAGCATCGATTGGTTTATTGTTGCTAGCGCGTACTCCGAGCTCGGGCTGCCTTACATGATCGCACTTCTAGTTTAGACATTACCGTCAGGCAGTCTTGTCAGGCCAATCAGGTCTTGACAAAGCGTACCATTATGCTCCGAATATCCATTGAGTGGAGCGGCTTTATTGCTTACTAAAGTCATACTTAAACATTTCGACAGATTTTTGAGCACATTGTACCACATAAAATCAGTCAGTAAGTACAACAAATAATCATACATAAGGCGTGCTGTCAATTTTTGAGAAAGTTTAAGGATATTAAGTGCACCTTATGGTCCGAAAAATATGGTACAGAAGAATAGAACAGCTGTATTACATTTAAATGAGAGCATACTTGGCAGCATTTGGCAAGGGGATTTTAGGCAGTTATCTTGAGGTGTGATTTAAGACTGATGTTTGTGATTGAGTGCAAAGGCCTCGACATCATTTCTAGAAGTTAAAACTTGTTAGTTCATTTAAACAACACAGAAAAACAGACGTGGGGGTCATTCCTAAATCACACAAGGTCCCACTGGAAGAACTAGTGCTATGTGAATATAAAGAGGATATACAGGAAATATAAAGAAAAAGCTTCTGTATAGTGATGGACAGAACATCTAAAATCTCACTTTATGACCTGCAGTGATTTTTGTAATGGCTCTGAACACTGACACTGGACAAAAGTCACACAGTGACTGCCAAGTCATACAAATTCACAGGGATGCAGGGCCAGTTTAAGGTCAGCAGTTTGTATTCAAAACCAATCACTTTTACTCACAGTGTTTGTTTTAGCCTGCTGGGAGCAGCAGATAACACCAAGTGTCAGGAAAAATGTAAATCCAGCTCGTTTGCATAACCTGAATAGCTCGCTATGGAGAGTGTTAGAGACACCCTTTAGATCCAGATGAGTTTCTTCTTACATTCAGTGTTGTGGGGAATGTGGTGGAGCAAGAAAAAACAATAAGTGTCTGATACTTTCTCTCTCATTTATCAAGAAACATGCAAATGTGCTGGATTAAAAAAATGTATTTATAAGTCTAAAAAAGCAGACGTATAAGAGATGTTCACCATTCAATCACACTCTGCAGCCAACATAATCACTGTGATTTTGCAGTGGATTTGGTGATTCAAATTTTAATGCTCATACACAGCCCCTGCTGTTCTCACATGGAAACCCTGTAGTGTAGAACCTGCTGCTGAAACAACCCCGAGGACATAACTCAACCTGTGCAGCCGCATCCTTTAAATGACTTTTGTCATGTTTTGTGAAAGCACACACACACACACTCAAACAAACTTAAGCACACTCACATGAATTTAGGCTTGAGGGAACACACTGTTCTGATTTAAGGACAGAAACCAAATGACGAGATGAGCCAACGTTAAAAAACTGAGGGAGGAAATCCAACAGAGTGATTACCATTAATGTCATTGTGGTTCTAAGTTGTTTACATGGCACAAATAAAACCCAGACTCTGCTTTTATTTATAATAAAAACATAATTCAAACATTGAGATATTATTCTAACTCAAAATTATAACACAAACAAAATTAGACAAACTATAAACATTTAAAATCAAATTAAAATGAAAATTAGATTACCGTCTACAATTTGTGTTGTTTTTAGATTTGAGTATAATGTTATATTTATGTAATGTTATAAAGCAAAACAAAACCTTAAAGCTAAGTGACACACATATACATATTCAAGAGACACACAGTCACGACAACAACAACAACGATGAAGCACAAACACACACGTTGTTGTGTGTCAGTCGCATCCCTCACTGTAGGGATACTGAGCTAATCAGATTAACGGGGTCTGAGAGTCTGGAGGATGGAGGAGGGGGCCTGTGTGTGTGTGTGTGTGTGTGTGTGTGTGTGTGTGTGTGTGTGTGTGTGTGTGTGCGCGCGCGCCCACCAGGAGAGCAGATGTAACGGGCCAACACTGAGGATCAGACCGTCTGTTTCTCTGATTTCTGTCTCAGTATCTCTGCGTCTGACCGGCTGAATGATAACCTGTCTGTTTGTTTTTCTGTTAGTCTGTCTCAGACAGGTGGGGCTTATCACAAACTACAGGTGTCAGAAAATGTTGGCCAAGTTGAAGGCTCACTTAACCCTGAACATATATGGTCCACCCTCGTGAAACAGCTGGGTACAGATGTGGTTCTAGAGTTTGCTTCATTGATTTTGGTAATATGAATGTGTTTCAGATCTAATTCTTACATTATCAGACTCCAGTTGGTCAACTCTCACTGAGTTTGTGTTGATCATTAAAAAGAAAAAGTTTTTTGTGAACTTAATTTTGTGGAGATCTAATAAAGCTAAATTCGACTGTGAAAAATTCCAAACTCAGGGGGCAGATTACAGCATCAACATGTGTGAATCATTGTATTTTTTAATTCCTGTTTAAACTTCTCAACCTAAGAATGCTTTTAAGTTCTATTTCTGATATTTCTTCCAACTTAAAAACACCATGAACATCCCTGTCTTTAAAAAAGAATGTATGGTAACACTTTACAATAACCATAACTTATAAATGGTAAATAGACCATTTATAAATGGTAAGCAGATAGTTTATTTATGTTTAATCATAATTTATAAATAGCATATAGACCATTAATAAATTGTAAATTTTACAAGGGGCTGCGTGATAACAGACAACAACTTGGTACTATTTAGTAGCAGCGTATGCCCCTTGTAATGACCCCCGTAAAAACTGTTGTTCAGGACTGCTTACTTGTGCTTCCCACCCACTCGACTACTGTAATAACTGTTGTTCAAGCCCACACGCAACATTTTTGTTCTCATTTATGAAACGCTTAAATCAGGGACGTTTTCGGGGACAGCTTTTGCCGGGGACAGGTCATCCAATACGGGACTGTCCCCGGAAATCGGGGACGTTTGGTCACCTTACTGTACGTACTACTGATGTGCAACAGCAAACTCAGCTTTGGGATATATGATGATGTTACATAAAGAGAAAAACACACGTGACCCGTTAGTAGAAGGTCAAAGTCCTGGTCATTGGGTGTATTTGGTGTTGCTAGGACACATTGAATCTTGTCTTTGATGAAGAGGACAGATATGATCTTCCTCATTGTGTAAACAGATAAATACAGACATTTAACTCTGATGTCAAAGTCCTGCATTCCCTACCACCCACCTTTACCCACCTCAGATGTCTTCCTACCATTTCTGCGTAAATTTTGCGTAAAAGGATTATGCTTCCTCTAAAAAATCCTGTTAGGGAAAACAAATTAGCTGAATGTAAGCATTTTCAGGAAACACTTGCACATTCAGCTCTTTTTCTTCGAGAAATCAAGCAAAGACAATACATTTGGAGACCACAGTCACTGGAAATAACTTTGGTTAAACTCTCTAACAGACAGGATGACAGATTACATAAACTTTCCCAAAACTAGCTGCTTTTAAGTCACAAGGCTCTAATTAAGAAGCCCTGGTTGTAATTTAGGAGTTAAAAGCTAAGTCAATCACACGGAAAACCAAATGAAACCTTCCCAATTTGGCTCCGAACAAAGAAAACAAACATACATTTGATTATTTTCAGGAGATCATGTTGTTTTAGTGAGACTGTCTGTGAAGAAGTGCAGGCTGGTGGGTACTTTGACGTTTTCATGGCCTCTTAGCTGAGATATTTGAACCACACAAAGCAGGTCCAGTGTCCCCCCTACTTATTATTTTAATCGTACCAACAATATTTTCTGGATGTCTCCTCCCACTCCTCTACCTGAGTCCCTCCCTCTCACCTCAGCCTTTGTCTCAGTCTGCTTCGCCTCTGTCTGTCTCCCCCCACATGATCCTCCTCTACCGCAGTGTTTAGAGAAATAAAAGGGGGCACAGATGCACTGACGGAGGAGGAGGAGAGGGATGCTTGAATTTCCGTCGTCTTGTTCTGTGTAACATACCCTGATGTTTGACTTAGAGAGCTTAAAGGAAGAATCTGTAAATCCCTGATGAGTAAACAGAAGATGGACAGAACGAGGGCAGACATTCACTTTCCGGTGTTTTGCAGGAACTCCTCATTTGTGGAACATTATCCTCCAAATGTTTGCAATTTAGAGCACTTAGCGTGTCTTATTGAATAGTTTTGTAGTGGAAAGTGTCGTGCAAATAAACTGGCCCTGCCTTACTGAACCATATTCAGAATTGTTAGTACATAGCTTTTGGTTAAAAGGCTTTAATTCAGTATTGATTGGACATCCCATTGCTGTTTCTAATATGTAATATAATCAGTTAAAGAAAGAATAAAAACTGAGGGCCTTCTTGTATACCCTATGCAAAGTGCTCTGGTCCAAGTGTCATTGTTATTCCCTAATACATACACTTGTCAGTCTTATGCAAACCTATTTACACCGACTGTGTGAATAGTTAACAAACCTGCGACCGCATTAGTGCCGTAAAATCAGGTGTGGTTTGGCACAAAGGTGGAGCGCTGCTGTCTTGAGGAAGAAGAAGGTGTCTGCACTTAAGACCAACTAAAACCTGCTCTGAAGTCTGTAGTTGTTGCCTCTCTTGGCTTGGTCTCCATTGGAAAGAAATGTATGATCTCACTAGGGCTAACTTGGTTAAGTAAAGGTCAAATAGATAAATAAATAAAGCCAAAATCGACTTAGCGCCATCCCTTTTGGATTGTTTCAGTAGAGCCCCAAGTTGAGATGAGCTCTCCTGCATGCAAAGGAGATATCTACCAAAATGCATTGCAGCCCCTGGATAGCTCCCCTTAGTTTTCACTGCTGTTTACATTTAGTCAGTTAAATATTGCTCTATATCCACTCAACCAAAACACTGGAAAAAAACTGCCTTCTTTGTGGGAGTGTCCTGAAACTACAGTCTTACACAACCTCACTGACATGATGCCAAAGTTTCCCCCAAAAATTAATTTCCAAAAATATTTCCCAACCTCAAGTCATTTTTTCCAGAATCTGTACAGCAGCAGCTCAAACATTTGTCACCCAGAAATCTCTGCGGCTCAGGGGAAAAAGGAAACAGTGGGTCTTTATTTTTGGCAGGAAACATAGAAGTCTGGCTTCTTAAAGTAGCAGCGGTGGAAGCAGCAGCAGCGGCGGCGGCAGTGGGGGAGGCATCCATTCAGTAGCGGTGGTGGATGCTGTTTTGGGTCACAGCAACTCCCCGTCTGCCTTAAGGATCTCTGTCATCCATCACACATCCCTCCCTCTACACTTTTCCTCATAAGTCTACCCCAGATCTCTCAACTGCTCATCATGTCGTGTGACTGCACCTCAACTCGAACTCTGCACGTGTTTTTGTTTTCAAAGAAGGAGGCAGGGAAAGTAGAGAGCTCTTTAAATAGATATCTAGCAAGGTGATGCATGCATGTGTTTGAAGTGAAAAAGCCCCGGCCAGGTCTGTAGACAGCTCCTTTTTTCTATCTGAAACTTACTGGGTTTTTTTTTGTTTTGTTTTTTCAAAATGACAGAGATACTCTCCATCAAGTGGGCTCTAAAAGAAAGGTCAGATAAAATCCAGAAGGGCACATATTGATCCTCTATCTTGCACTCAAATGAAGTTTAGACAACCTGATACCCTCTGACCTGAAGCCACTCAGTGTTTAAGCATGAAGAAAATCTTGGTGTGTTAAGCTGCTGGTGTGATGAAAGCTGTTTTAGAAACACTCCAAAGGGGAATCAATTGAAATACAGCAAAACTTATCAGAGCCCCTTTCACATATGCACATTAATCCTGAAAATTTCCCCAAACATTGCAGGGAGGCTGCATGTTTGGATGTAAACGGACATTTTTTTTAACCCTGTCCCTTAGATTGAGGTGTGAATCCAGAAAGTAATAGTCTAGGGTGACCATATTCTGACTACCCAAAAAGAGGACACGACTATGCATGGGCGGAGTTACGGAGTCGCACAAAGTTAATTTTGAGAGTTTTTCGGGTTGGATTGATGTCTTTTACGTGCTTCTAACTCAGTAAGTCAACGTGACACAAACTCGAAACTTACGTACTAAACTGCAGACATTTGAAGGATTTTATAAACTTCCCCGGACTAACCCTCACAGCCTGGACAGCCCCCCAAAAAGAGGACATGTTCAGGTAAAAGAGGATGTATGGTCACCCTATAATAGTGTGACACTAAGCTTTGAGTGAATGGGAGAAGTGATGCGCACTTCACATGCCAGTGAATTGTTTCCTGTTGTTTCATTGTACTGTGGAAACATCTTAACGCATGATCTAGCAATATTAACGTAAGAACAATCACTAATTGAGCATACTGTTAACTCATTAAGTACAATGTGTTTTTCTTTATGAACTGTAAATAGCTTCTATGTAATTATAGAGCGGAAAAACTCTTAATGCAGACCATAAACTAAAACTTCATTTCAAAAAGATTGACTAAAGTAACTCTTGTTTGGAGGCTTCATCCAGTCAGTTGCCTATTTATATAAACTCCAATATATGGTACAAGCAAAACACAACATACACAACATATCGTTAGAGGCACTATTGTAAATCAAAGTTTAACAATAAGTGAGTAACAGTGGTTAAGCATTGTTTAAATCAACTTTTTAAAATAGGTCCCACGGTTGTTTTTAGATGAATTTCACAAAAGTGGGAAAAAAGGCAACTTAACCACTTGAATGAATGTTACTACAGCCACTCCTACCCAACCCTCTCGCTGCTGTCTGAGAACTGAGGAGGTGTGTGGTCCATATTTGGGGTTTTGGGTTGAGTGTTATGCATCTTTATAGTTTATCATAGGGTGAAGTGTTGCTTTCGCCATGGATACCAGCAGAAAAACCACTGCCAGTCAGACTTTTTATTGTTGCAACCCGGCGTCTTCCAGTGACAGAGTGGAACAATGTGGAGGTAGAAAGACAAACAGAGCCATGCAGTGGCAGCCGTGGTCAACCAGCGGCGTTCCCAACCGCATTTCTGACACACCCTCAATCTAGTCTCCAGACTGGCTACTCTGGACAAACTGCAGGAGACAAAAGCAGTCATTTAACCCCTAAATCTAGAGAACATGAAGTGCAATTTGGAGTTCAAGAACAAATACGACTCAGCCTCACTGGACCTTTGGTGAAGGCATGTTTTAGTTGCAGTAGTTCTGCAGAAAGTGTGACTTAGCTGTTGATTCAAGCAGCTTGTGATCTGATCAAAGAAGATGGTAGAGCTTTATCTATGCTCTTATCACCCCAAGCATGCCACTTTTCTGAGTACAGATAAGATGGAACAATTGGAGCATACCTTTGTTTGTGCAAGGGAGACAATGGTCTGCAAGAGATCGTTGTGGGAAATAATCCTGTCAACAGTAGACACTTTTTAAAATCTTAAACATTTCTGCAGCCGTCTTTCTGTGAGAGAGGTTGCATATCAGACTGTAGCTACTATAAATGAGTAAATATAGCAAAAAGGACGCTCTGAAAATTATGGCAGCTATCAACTTAACTTTTTATGATACGAAGTGCAGCCTTTTTTTGTCTCCTGTCATCAGAATGTGTAACACTGAACAACTTTGGATCTCAGGTGGATCGTGTCGGAGTCCGTCCTCTTTTTAAATCACTACTTCAGGCTTTAACTGGCAGTTTACATAGTTAACTATGTGTCTCTAAAAATGATTAATTTGGGAACATTGATACAGCTGGTTAGCTGGTAAGCCTTGTTGCTACACATACCGTCATTTTAATTGCCTGCCTATGCTACTGTAAGCTTTATCCATAGCTTTTTGACTGCTTAGCTTAACTTTTTAACTGTTTACTATTATTTATTACTTTCTGAAGTGCAGTGACATGACATGATGAGTAGTTTAAGATATCTAGGGTAGACATATGAAGGCACTAGAACCAGGTAGGAGAACGATAATGATCTCCAAGGTCCATGTCAACCATAAACCCTTTGTAGCGGACACCACCTTGAGTGTTTTACGACCTCTCCCACTTCTACATGATTTATTATTTATTTTGTAATGTTATCCACCGTGAAACCAGCAAAAACAAGTATTTAATCCCAAATACTCGTGCTGTGTTTCCACAGTCAACAATTCAGTTAAACTTCAGCTCTAATGGAGGTGAGTCCTCTTTCCTTCAGCCTTTTAAAAGTAAACACTCCCACCCACTCTGGCACTTTTCCTACAGTGAGACGTACTGTAACTGTGGCTATAAGGCAAATGTGTCATGCGTCATGCTTATGTAGAGGAAAAAATGGTGTGGACATTCCTCCTCATCAGTCATGTTATTCTTGGCCCTCAGAGTGCATTCTTACACCTGGCCTGGACTCTCTGCAAACCGCTCTCCTGTCGCACATGAACAGTCAGTTTCTATATGTTATTGAGGGCCCGACAAGGAAAACATATGATGGGCCCTTCAAATAAAAACACACACACACGTAGGTACACAGACAAGCTCAGGAGTTGAGCTGAAGCATGCTTTCAGATACATGAACTGTGTAAAGTTATGGAGATTAACCCAGAAAATCCCACAGTTGGTTTGGCTTTCAAAATAAAAGACAAGCCATCTTGAGTGGACACATCATTAGGATATTTAAATAGAGTAAACATTCAAATAAGCATCAAACTCCCACAAAGATAAGTAGATGCAGTTATAATACGATAATACTATAACCAAATAAGAGTTAAATAAGTTATAAGACCCCTCTCTTTATAAAGCCGTAAAAATTAAGATGAAAACAAGGTAGGAAATTGATCAAATTAGCTTTTAAAAACAGACTTTAACAAACATTAACTTCAAATTTCAAAAGCAGAGGAGTTTCATATCCCATATATTGTTAGTTATTCTTGTTCAAATCAGCTTAATTTGTCCATTTTTGGCTCAAAGAAATAAATTAATATTTCAAATACCCCTTCATATATATAATTTTTAGTCTTTTAGGCCCACAGAGCATGTCATTGCCCTGTTGTGGCTGTGCCATTTCAATTTTTAATGTCATATGCCCCCAAAATATTGTTGGTCATGGAACCAAGAAGCAAATTACAAAAATGATTGTTCTTCCACCAGTCTATCTGACTCATACACACACAATACAATATGATATAATATGATATGATACAATATGGTATAAGTGAGACAATACAATACAAAATGACACAATAAACTTTATTGTCCCTAGAGGTGGAAATTTGTATTGAACTTGAGACTTTCTAACACTTCAAACAAACCACATGCAAAAACAGAAACACTGAGTTTTTACACAGGAAACCACAAGCAACACGTGGTGCACATAACCCATGTTGCACAATAAGAGCATTTATAAAATATAAGAAGATTGAGCGATCATAGTGCCTTTATGAAAGCATTAAAGCTGCAAGAAATAATTAAAAATTCATAATTGGCCAGTGCTCTTAAAAACATTAGAGGACTGTTCGTTAGTTTCCTTTGTTTAATATCTTGCATCTCTTGCAGTAATAGCTAAAAATTGACAAATCATATTTCAGTAATATAATACTGTAAATCCAGAAACATGGTACATATTATATTGCAAGTTGAGTGTATTGATATGTCCCCAGTACTAAGCTACTGTTGTTTTTAAGGGAAGGTAATAAAAACCTCCAAAGAGCTAAAGAACCTCAATTTATACTTTCTGTTCATTAAAACCAGCTGAAAAGTTTTCATTTTAAGTTTTTCTTTCATTTTCTTCTATGCTACTTTACATCAGAAGTACTCAAAGTTCACGTAAACACGGTTTTATTTTGAAAAGTCTTAACGGAAGTTACGTGCTGCCTCCCCGCTCACTTCACAACACTGCAGTGAGATGAAGCGTCCAGGAGACTTCGCGCTCAGAGCAAACAGCGCTTAGACAGAGACACACAGGGAGGAGCAGCAGCGGGCAGTTTTCACTTCATCCACATCGACTCCTCTCCATCATGGATCCTCCCCGGGCTCGTGCCCTTATATCCGCTGGATAAACTTTGGACTTACTCTCGTATCATGGGAATATACTCTCTCCGTGGATCTATACAGTCTTGATGGAAATCATGTCACCGCAGCAGGGGACGATGGGACAGAAGAGGTCCGACTCTCTGACGGGAGACAGCAAAGCGCTCCCCGAAAACAAAAAGGTAACAGAGACGCTCCTCTGATGGAGAGCTGACCGTGCGCTTTTACGCACGGAGTTGGGCACTGCGCTCACTAAGAACATAGTACATTTCAGCCACTCTTTTTTGACACTGTCTCATTGAAATATCTCTGTAAAAACTCACAGAAATTTATTTTAGTTTACATGAATGAGCGTAAAGTTTCGGTTTATTTCAGTTTCTTAAAAAAATCTTCCAAGAAGTTTTAATTTGGTCGCTTTGTTTTTGTTTATTTTTGGTTGGGTTACCTGATTTTTGTGTTAATATTCTTACAAATCTGCTTTCGTCTTTGGCATGTTTTGGATAGAGCTCACTTGTAGAGTTTAGTTTTGTTTGACATGGTTTTATTGAAAGGAGTAATTTGAGACTTTCCTGGGATGTTATCCTTTTCCTATTCTATCCTTGAATTTCCCTCTGTTAAAACTCAGATTTATGGAACATAAATATGGAACATTGTGGTTTTTGATGGTCTTTTAAGGGGAAACAGGCAGCCCCAATTTATCATTTTTGTTGAAAATTTAAGGTCTAAATTGATCTAATGCATTACTATATTTTATTGGTGTGCCAAAAAGTGTTGTCTGATTGCGCTGAGGAGTCAAAAAGAACAAGATAACAAAGTACTATAATGTGCTGATAATGATTATTCATTGGTCTCAGAGACAGGAGTCAGCATGCAAATGAGGAGGTTGCTGCTGCACTGAGACAGTGATCTCAGTACAATGATTTTAACTTTTATTTTGTATTCTTGAATAAAAAGAATAATATATTATATTTGATGTCTTTGCAAAAGCATCCAAATTGCTGCTGCTTTTGAGCTGCATATTTCCAAGCTCACATTTGGTCCTTGACCCTGTTTGGCTCAGAGGAGGTGAGTCTCCAGCAGCTGGTCAGTTAAACTGCAGCAAACAGTGCCCTCATCCAGGGTGTGTTTGAAGGGAGTAACTGCAGCCTGCAGCACAGCAGAGGAGGAGGTGAGCTTAGATTTTCCAAAATGCTGCAAAATGTGTTGCAGTGGTTAAAAAACTCACATGAAAGGTTTTCTTTGACACAACCAAGCTGAACACTGGTGACCTCCTTTGTTGAGTTTTCATGTTAATATTATAATTTTCTGTTTTGAGCTTGTGTTCTTTGCTGATTTCAGTTTACTTACCCTGTGATTGATGTTTAATGAGCAAACTAATCCAGATAAACTTGCTTTGTAAACTCAATACAGAAGTTCAAGGTGAGGTTCTGGTGTTACCATCCAGTTTGTATAACCCAATACATCACTCCTCGGCTGTTGTGCAGAGTTACTCTTGTTTTCATAATATTTTATTGAACCACTTCCCAGACTTAAGCTTGTTGCCAGTGATTTTCTCTTTGTCTTAAATACCTTTGAGTGTTGCTTTAGTCTTTGTTTTTATTGCAGTGCTTTGAGCTGGATCAGGAAGTTTTGTCAGCTTTGGGGAGTTGTGCAGAGTGAGGTGTCAGAAACTGCAGCTCCGTAGCTTTATGGCCATTGTGTAAATGTAGAGTTTCCACATGCTGCCTTTCACTCCCGAGTGGTGGTATACGTGTTGAAATGTTTGTGTCGGAGTGACGAGAGCTCATTTCAAGCTGTTCCTGACATACGCGACAGGTACATGCATGACGTGTGGGCGTATAGGGTTTGCAGATAACAGCTCATGAATCCTGTTTGGTTGCTGCATAATTGAAACATCAGGGCTTGTTGTTACACTTTCACAATAAGAGTCATTGTTTCTCCACCATTCTAAGTGAAGTGTCAACTTATTAGTGCTGCATGTTTCCTGTCAATCACCTCTCACCAGCATGAAGAAGAAGTGTCCTCTCTCAGATCTTAGTCATCCTCATGCATGATTGCATAAATATGTGGGTAAAGCTCAGAGGTCTCTTACTTATGTAACTTGATTCAAAATTAGCTGCTTTTGCAATCTTAACTGGGTCAGTTTGTTGCATGAAACTAATGAAACCCTCACTCTGATCCAAACCAGGAAGTTTTCCCACAAACTATAAACACGCTAAAACAGACCCAGAATGCAATGAGGCAGTTGTTTCACAGCCTTATAATAAATTGTAATTCGAAGTTTTATAGCGAGACAAACCTGTTCATTGACCATGTCAGTTTTTTCTTGGCCTTTTTGACTCTCATTTACTATTAAATTTCAAAGTTTAGTGTATCTTTATCAGTTCCCGAGTGTAATTTTAAGGTTCAGACATTAGATTGGATTGTTTTAAGGGTTTAAAAGAAAAGTTCAGATATACAGGAGTGTATCCAAAGAGTTGTTCAGAGGTGGCACAGCCCCCCTTAAAGATAACACCCTTGTTGCCCACACTATATATGGACTTCTACACTTTTTACACATTTTCAGTTTAAAGCAACACATTTACTCTCATGTTACGCCTTGTCTGGAGGGTGAAATGCACAAAGGCAGAAAAGTGAGGCTAATCCCTTTGTCACTTCTCTGTCACTTGAGGTAGTAACACTGACAAAAATGGTGGCCAAGGTCAGACTGCACAATCTTTCTGTCTGTTTTAATGGCCACTTTGTCAGATGAGGCAATCACAGAGCATTAGTTCATGCTGTGATTCCACTCACAGACATGACAGACTGAACTGTGGTACTCGAGCCATCTTCATGAACGGTGAGATGACATTAGAAGGAAGGCAACTAGGTAAGATGACACCTAGTTAAGGACTGAAACAAACAATGGCAGCTGAATGGTTGTGTACTAAACTGTCAATGTTGGGTTTGGAAAAACTTTAAAAGATTATGAACAAATTATTGGGTCACAAGAAGAGGACAATTCTTTCTAGAGATGTATAAGATTGGATTTTTATCAGATTGGCTGATACTTTCAAACTAATCTTTTGGCCGATAATTATATTTGCAGGAATTTTCATGTCAGCCGATACCATTACTTGACTTTTAAAGCGATTATCCACCACCACCTGCTATATTGTATAACATCAGCCTGCTGACATGCTGAATGGATCATTGAGTTTATAATGTGTACTCTGACCTTGATATTAGGGTGTGTGTGTGTGAAGGTACTTCGGTGTGTCTGCATGCAGCACTGTCTCATCATACTCAGGGTCAACAATAACACAATGTTGTGAGCCTCACCGTGTTGATGCAAAGAAGTAATGACCTTGTTAAAGTACAGCAGATTTGCATGGACTTGTGTTAAAATGAACTATTTGGACTGAGTTGTAACAGGCTGCTGGTGGGTTTCATTTTAATGAGGCACAGTTTCTTTTGGTGGGATTTTAACAGACAGGTGCCAGAGATTCACATCCTGTTACTTTTTCAAGTAATAAAGTTGTGCACAGGAATTAAACGTCTGAATAAATGTCAACAGCAGATAAAGTAGAAATGATCTTGGGAGAAAGAAATGATCTGTGAGTTCTGATCAATTGTTTGTGCACATATGCTTCATGCCTCCCTTGCAGAAGTCAGAGTCTGGGTTGGGCCACCCTGGTCAGAAAAGCTTGGACATACCCCTGATCATAATGATGCAGATTAACAGGGAAACAGAACTCTTATTACATGAATGAAATGAAACCAAAGCGCCTCAGGCCAGCCTAGTCATTGTAACTTGCGTCTGAAGAGCAAAGTTGACATGTCTTTCTTCTGTCCGTGCACTCAGTCATGTGTCTCATGATGCACATTATGTTACACTGAATGCCTGAGTGTTGTGTCTCTGCTGCTTTATGACTACCATGAGTCAAATTCTTCCCCTAACACCTCTGCATGACAGGAATGTCACCCATACATCAGTGCAACAAGGAAACAGTTGAGTTTCCATCGATGCTTTTGACTTTTTTCAGGCTTTTTTGAATGACACTAGTGTGAGTTTATAGAGGGGGGGTTTGCATGTGTAAGGGTGCACATGGTTTCAGTATGGCTCAAATAGATTAGATTTAATTGAAATAACTGTGGGATGCCTGTCATAGTTCAGTGAGGGAGCGTGCAATTTATCACGTTACAGTCAAATTATATATGAGGGCTCACAGACGTTGTGCAATGCCAGACGGCTTGTTTCACAACTTCAGACTCCCTGTGTCTCTCTGTCACTTTGTTTCAGTCAGCTGCCATCTTTATCCACTTATCTCGCTTCCTCTTTCCCTTTTTTTCCTCCTCTACTGCTGTCACTTCTCCTTTTCCCCTCCTTCACCATCCTCCTCTGTATTTCCTGCATTGACCACAGTCAGAAACCAGACCAAAGCAGTGCTGACTCTGTGCTTTGCTGCTATTTGGTCTCCCTCTGTAAACATTTACACTCAAAACCAAAAGAATGGTGCAAAAACCATCACCTCCTTCACTGACCTGTCTCCTTCGCCTTCTCTCTTTGTGCAGAAGATGAAGACCTTGGCACAGAGGCGACAGTCGGCTCCCTCACTGGTTATCAGCAAAGCACTTACCAGATCCAGAAGCACGTCCAGGTATGAGCACACACACACACGCACACACACACACACTGTACATATCCTACTTTCTAGAGGCTGACATCATTGTTGGCCTCAGTGGGGCGATGATTCCTCTCAGTGGATGGTGTTACAGATTTGGCTGCTGCGGACAGCTTCACCCAGCTGTATGAGTTAAACAACAAGTTTTCTCAGAAATGTGTCAGGGATATGATTTGTTTCAACCTCCAGGCTTAAAACTTTTCTCTGTCTCTTTCAGTTTTTCTTGTTCTATAATTTTGTTGCCTGGAAGTTTACACTGTAACTCACTTCTAAAGTTATTTAACTGTCCTCACCAGGATATTTAAACCTTAATAAAACCTCCAGGAAGAAAATAGCAAAGCTGTTTTGTGCAGCAAAGTGCTTCATTGTAGTAAACAGGTATTTGGTAATCAGTTAAAATGTTTGTGCTGGAGTGAATAAGAAGGTATTTGACAGCCTAATGTGTGATAAAGATAAAGCGCTGTATCGTCTGCATAAAGAGCGACAACTCAAAATTCATCAGATTTTGATTTTGCATTGATTCATAGATCTTGCATGAGTTTTTGGAGGGTGAAAGCACACAGAGTCAATCAAAAAAGAAGGGAAGCTAAAAGCTGTAAGTTAAAACCGCTGAGCAGAAGTGGAAGTTTGTGCTTCCTATGGTCAGCTCTAAGCTGCACGCTCTTGGTCTTTCTCTCTAGATATTATACAAGAACAGAGAACTGAAAAACTGACTGTACTGATTCAGTTCATCCGTCTGTATTGCCTTGAATATGTGTCAAACATCAGAGCGTAGTTTGGGGCCTGTGTTCATTCATGGCTTAGAGGGGGTTCAAACACTCCCAGAGCTATCAGGCTTTTCATCACTCTCTTATCACACCGATTCCTTCCTCCTCCTTTTAGCGAGTCGGAAATAGACCATTACAAATCCCTTGAGGAGGGCACGTATTTACCAGAGTCCTCAGTAAAGATATCTTTACTCCAGCCAGCTTTCTTGAGAGAAAAATGTATTTTTAAAACACTCAACTTTTTCAGACAAACAAAAATCTAAATCAAGACATCAGGAGAAAGTAAATGAGGAATGTTGTGGAGTCTGACAAACCTCAGCTGCCCCTAAAAGCACTCAAAGGTTTTAAAATACAGGTCTTCATACCATAATTATTTCTCATGTGAGCGTATGCCTGGGGATGAAACCCGATGTGGTGTGACTGTCTGACATGTTTATGATGTGTGTGCGAGCTGGTGTCAGTTTTTAGTATTTGAGGAGGGATTGAGCCGAGCTGCAGCACATTTAACTGTGAAACTGAACCATTTAGACCAGTGCTGAGGGAAACACTCCACACTGTTAAATGGGTCAGTGCTCAGGGGGCAGAGTGTGTGTGCATGAGTGTGAGTGTGTGTGTGTGTGTGCTGAAGAAAGTGAGAAAGACAACTCACTTATTCAGTTTGCAGGCGCAGAGAAAGAGCAGAGACAGGCTAACTATTGAGCGAAAGTCTGACCAGTGTGTGTGTGTGTGTGTGTGTGTGTTTGTGTGTGTTAGTGCGTGTGTGTTAAAAATCTCAGGCGTTATGGAGCCAGGGCCTGACACTCTCAGCTGCCACCCTTAACCTCTGACCTCTCATCAGGGGGTGTAGAGGCCAGTGGGGGTCACCTGGGGTCAGAATCTCTCGTGTCAGTAAGTCGGCGAGGTGTTCATTAAAGTCCGGATGAGGATGTGCGTGTGCAGGGGGGGGTTACCATGGCAGGCATGTGTAGTTGTCATGGTCAGGTGACTCTCAGTAGGTAAAGATGAGAGATCATGATGAGTTTTGTGATTTCTTTCAGTCAGTGGTGTCAGATAATTTCACTGAAACAATCGACTTTATAGGTGTTGGTGCTTCCAAACCTTCGCCCTGCTTGGATACTGTCGTACAAAAACAATAACACCCCCTTAAGCCTGATAAATACACTTTTAATGGATACAACGACTCTGCCAACTTTACTTGGCAGCTTCTTATTTATTGAATCACCACTCTGCTGTTGGTCCAAGTGAATTTCTGGCTCAGGCAATATAAGAAAAAATGAGGGGTAAACGTCATTATATACAAATCTGTTAAGCTGGTAAGCAGTCAGAGAGATGTTGTGTTTCTAGCTGAGTATCCTTGAGGTAGGGCTGCTCGATTATGCCAAAAACCTCTATCATGGTTAAACCTTTCTCATTAATCTTTCGTAACAGACCGATGTCACCTGGAAAACGTTAGCTGGTTGATGCTTCTTCAAGATTTCATGATCATTTTAACTTTTTGAAGACTGTTTTTAGCATTTCTTGGTTTAAACTTTTATGGCTTCACCTACAAAGTGACTCCGTCTCCCTCCATCCTGTCTTGCCCATCAGTCAAAGAGGTGCTGATTTGCTCTCTGGCCTTCAGCTTAGTCACTTACATCACCCCCCCACACACACACACATTTACGCACACACACTCACCCCACACCATCCATCCAGTATAACCTCATCCTGCTGCCTCCAGGCTTACAGTTCAGGATATTATGGATTCAGACTGGAGTTAAAATACCCCCTTCCCCCTCAGGCAGTGAAATCTACCCTGCAGGGAGGAAGGTGGCTGCACCATAAAGTATAAAAACATATGATTGGCTGACCGCCTTGACCTCTCACTTTCGCTCATAATGAGGCACAGTGTCACCGCAGAGTGACATGCAAATCCAAAAAACACCTGAATAAAACACACACACACACACACACACACCACCACCAACCTCTCCCTGTGTCGCTCTAATGAAGAGATACATATTTGTACTAATAAATGTGTCAGGGTTTGTTTACTTAACCTCATTTCTGATCTCGACCTGAAACCAAACTCCTAACCTGCTTTAAAATCCTAGAAAGAGTCAGAAAATGTTATTACTCGAGGATTTTTGTTGATTTTTGTGGTCGCTGCGAGAAATTTAGTCCTCAGAAAACACATGTGGGAGGACACACACTCACTCACACATCATGCAAAAGACATTTCCTGACTTTAATAGAGAGATCTGCTAAGGATATCATGGTCGACAGCCTCTGGTCACTTCACTTTATTGGCTGAAAAAAGGGGGAAGCGTTTCAGAGCTCTGACCTCATCCTGTGTTTTTGTGTGTGCACGGACTTGTCTGTGTGTGTGTGTGTGTGTGTGTGTGTGTGTGTGTGTGTGTTGGGGAGCATTGAGTGTCAGCCAGCGATGACATTATAGTTTGCCTATGGAAATGATCTAGTGTGCAGCCACAGCCAGTTCAGGATAAGGTTTCTTTCACCAGGTGGGAACAGTAAAGAGACAGCGGCTGGAGATACATTCAGTTTAATGATTTTAATGATCTGATAGTTTAATTAACACTCTTGACACTTTAACAAGTCGTACTTTTAGCCCATAATTATGTCTATTTTGGCCTTTCCGTTAGAGAAGCTTGAGTGTCTGAAGACCGAATGTGTCTCTCTTTAAACTTTCAGGCCCCAGAAATAAGAGCTCTAATTCTCAGGACAAGTCAGTAAAGGATGGGCAAACTCTACAAATGTTTTAGTTGCTTTTTTGAGATGAAAGTTGTCATTAGATCAACCAGAAGCGATGTGTAACCAGCACAGACATGTGGACTTAAAGACAGAGGGTTGGTGGAGCTAGCTCTGTTGGTGGTAGCCACACTCGAGAAACCTATTTGACATAATTTTGACCCTGTGTTCAGCTGAGTTTAATAATTTGCGCTCAACTCTGCACCAATTAATCCATCCTTTAACTTCAGTAGATAGTTATTTAGAGTTTAAATGTCCAATCAAATGACTATGAAATGAGTCACAGAGCATCTACCACTTCGGAGTAATCCCTCTATATCACTAAATATATTCTGTTTTTCAATACTAATAATGCTTTCTTATTTACCCATTAAAGCACTTTGAACGACTCAGTGTTCTAACTAAACTTGTCCTGCTGTTTTTACCCAGCAACACCATGAATCTTGCATCTTGCATACTTTCACTTCATGGTTTTACAGCTGGGATTTTCCAGTGTAAATTATGGCCAATTTTATGACATCTTTTAAACTCTGACTAACATTCGCATTGTCTGCAAACACCACACTGTCGTTTTTCTATCATCACACTATAATATAAATAATTCTGAATCAGTTCTTCTTTGCTGTTGGAAAACAGTAGATGCTACAGGCAGCCAATGAGAGCCAGTTGTGATGGCAGTGAAATTTCTCATGTGTGCTGCTGGTTTGGAAAAACTAAAATTATGTGAATTTTTAAGGCGAGTAAATAAGAGCGTCTGATCATGGTGTTAACTAGAGTTAACTAGAATCAAATAAACTGTTCTTAAATCATAGAATAAGTTCAAAAAGTTTCCTTTGTTTTGCTTTGGTTGTCGTGTGTATTGTTGGACCAATGAACAAATCCAACCACTGTGGATTCAGGAGGTGGTGCAGACCAGTGCCGGTCTCCACAAAATGACATCCTCTTTCATCTGCATGTTAACACACACTTTCTTTGTCCTTTGTTGTCTTTCCTCCACACGCATACACACACACACACACACACACACACACACACACACACACACACACACACACACACACACACACACACACACACACACACACACATACTGAGACATCAGTGGCTTCTTGTCTGGAGTCTGGACAGCCTTTATCTACAAGAAGGGGGTCAAACTTCTGCTGATGCAATCCTCTGTATGCAGACACACACGTACAAGTTCAGTGGCTGACACACAAACAGTCCACACACACTCTCTGACTTACTTTTACACAAATTCCTCTGGACTCACACACTTACAAACACACAGAAATCGTCAATGACTCATTGTCACATCTCTGACTCTCCTCTTTTACCTCTTTTTAGTTAAAGTCAGAGTTCAAATGTTGCATAAGGAACAAAGAAGCGAGCTGAGATTTTCTTCTCCAGCCAGCAGTCTCCTCTTCAGTCAGATCGTCTTGGCTCATGTTGGATCGTCGCCATAAAAACCTGTTGATCGCCCTGCAGTCAGATTTGACTCACACACACACACACACACAGTGAGAGGAAGCCTCCATATGTATACCTATAAAGCTGCTAAACAGATGGACAGAGTTATATAAGCGTGTGTCATTGCTGCCTTCAGGGTCTCGGTCTGAGTCATAGAGGTGACAAGATGGTGTATGTTAACGTACAAAACAGAAGACACTGAGCGAGAAAAGAAAAGTGGAAGTCATTTAACCGGAATTAAGTCAAAAACTTTCCGAGACAGGACTGAGTTTTAAAAGTGAAAAAGAAAGTTCAGGTGATCAGAAAAAGAAAGGGAAAAGAGAAAGTCACAGCTGTTTGTCCAGCTGTTGTCCTCGGGGTATGCGGTTGGTTTTTATTATGACGGAGACTTTACTCATCTTCCCTTCGGAGCCTCCTCTGGTTTCAGGACTCTGAATCAGATTTAACTCAATAACAAAGAGGAGCACTCTGCTGAATGTGTAGTTTCACTCTGACCTTTTTTTTTTACTCGAGTTTCATCTAGAAAAAACAGCTTACCCATTGTTGCAGTACCTGTTTCTTGCCTTTCTTTAATTGGACTGATTGAAATACTAGATATCTCAATAACATTATTATGAAAATTTGATATCATGACAGCATTCTATTCATCAACACAGGTAACTACAGCGCAGCCGCATCAATAAATGAAACAAAGTGGACGAAGTCTGTTAATCCTGAAATGTACCTCTACAGCATAAAACAACATTTTGATCATCATCAATATTTATGCACTGAACTGACAGAGATGGCAGTATATATGTTAATATGTGGACTAAATTACGCCCAACAACTAAGAACCAAACTGCAAGGGTTTGGGTAAAAAGCCACAAATCAACCTTAGTTTTCTTGCCAAGAAAAAAAGCCAAATTGTGCACAAAACTACATCCATCCTGACAGAACACCTTGAATTATGACTTATTCTGTGACGACAGGACACTGTGTTACATGTTTCTAAGCTCATTCTTCATACCAGACTTTGACTTTATGAATCCCTCTCCAGCTTGATTATTCATGCTGTGACATTAGTATTCCGTGTTGTGGGGTTTATTGTACGCTGGCCCCTCATTGTGCTCCAAAAAGTCAACAATTCTCCTCACAATGCTCTGCTTTTAACAAAGGTGTCCATGTATTTGTGGGCAGGCTGAAGACTCAATTTATCAACATCACATGATGCACAAAGGAGCCGTTAGCCGCTCATCCATCAGGCTCAAAGGAGAGCGGCTCAGCTGTCAATCTGACATTCAGGAGGGAGGGATGTGTGCTGAATACGGAAGATGTCCTCTTTTTGGGGACAGCGAGATGTGAAAGGAGGCTGGTTCGACCGTTTGTGTGCGTGTGTGTGAGTGTGAGTGTGTGTGTGTGGGCTCTTCTGACAGAAGCATTTCCCAGATACATGCATATAAAAAACAAAGGAGGAAGTGTTTTAACTGAAAGAGAATTCAAACTTCTGCTCTGTGATGATGGTAATTCAAGTAATTCAACTCAGTCAAATAACCCGGAGTCCTCATGTGGTCTAGCTGCAGTTTTCAAAAAATGAGCAGGTACATTAGAGGTGATCATACAGGGCTTTTGTCTGCAAACCAGGTGAAGGTGCACAACACACATCACTGGCTTTATCTGAGGAGCAAGTTAGGACAGCCTGATTTGGAACAAATGAACTGATCTGAGGTAATCTTGCTTGCATCACTTCCAGTTAGAAATGGGTGTACCACATATACATGTTATTCTCACAGTCGTGCAGGTTGAGAAAATTCAACAGAGGTGATACATTTTTGAAACACTGTCTAACCACAGTCTAAGGTGAGATAGTTTTCTTGCCCACTGTATAGTTGAAAGAGGTTTTGACACACAACACAATCTCCAAAAAAGGCAGTGATGGGGTGGACCAACGCCACAGCAACCGGGTTATTGATATCGTGTAAAATTCAGACTATAAATCCCACAGTCTGTTAGGTAGGATTCAAGTCAGTGAAGTAGGTAGTGCCTAGCTTGATTACCGCCAAAAAGCTAATATTCACTCTAGTTTTGATCCGAACATCTCTGTGTTTGTGGATCAAACAGAAGATGAGCTTTGATGCTGCTTCAAACTTTTAGAAAAATTTGGAAAAGAGAAACGGAAAAATACTTCAGCCTGCCAAACGATGACACAGCGTTTAAGGAGCTGACTCTAAATGTGAAGCTTTATGTGTTGTTGCAGCTATTTGTCTACAAAGAAAGAATGAAAGGCTTAATTTATAGCTGGGATAGTGTTACGTAAAACTGTTCAAAGGGGAGTTAAGTCATTTCACACTAAAACACATGGAGACAGTTTCCTCCCTCCAGCAACAACATCCATTTGTTTCACGATCGCTGACATTGTTTGAGGTTGTGTTGTCTCTCAGCCTTTGTCAGTGATGCGTCACTACCCTAAATATTCTGAAGTGTCCATCTTTCCCCATCTTTTATCCTCATTTAACACTGTTTCAATGAGTTCTGATTCCTGGCTCTGCAGGGCGATGTGTCCCACTGAGCGCCAGTCTGAAATCGGCTGCATTCATCTGCTGCCTTTAATTGAATTCACTCAGCCCTCTTTTTGGATTTATTTTTGGATGGCACACAAAGAGGGACAAAAAAGGGAAGTAATCCAACATGGACGTCTGTTCTGTTTTAATTAATTACGTAACCAATCACTTACGCAATCTCGCTTTGAGGTTTATTGTGCATGAGAAAGTCCAAACTTGTCCATCTTCCCAGTAAGACTTAGAGACTTTATTTACACGTTCCTGAAGGGTTTACAAACAGAAGAGTGTCTTTAAACTTGGGCAAAGAGTGATGGAGGAATAAAAGTAGAAACTCTGTTCATTAAGGATAGGGTGTGTACACGTTTGTGTACACGAAAGAGACACAAACAGGCACAGACACAGATAGAAAATGTGTATATGTGCGTGTAAAAGGGGATTTAAGGCTTTTATCTGGCAGAGAGGAGTAAACAGGAAAGGATGGAGCTCTCAAAGTATTTCCTCTTCCTCTAAAGAAAAAAAAAATCCCCCTTTTTTACATCTGTCCACCAGTGGCACATATTGACGACAGAGGAGCATACAGTTTCAATTAAGGCAAAAATGTCAGACATTTCTGTCATTGCCAAGCAAGCGAAGAGGGATTTAGACTTTTAAAACAGTTGTTATGAAAGCTTTGTAGAAGAAGAAGAAAGTAAAAGGAGGAAAAATGGAAAATGGGAAGAATATTTGAAATGAATAAGAAACAATTACAGGTATAGGATGAATTTATGAGTCAAATAGTCTGGTAATTGATCATTTTGCTGCTCACAAGCATGCAAATGTATGTGAATTATTGCAATTCAGTTTTAACAAAAAAGATTTCCTTCACTGAAACTAGTTGCAGCTATGAGAAGGACTCGTAGAAAAAACTTTTGAAATACAGAGGTAGATATCCTGTTTCTGTACCTTGTTCAGGTCGCATGACCTGTTTGGAAATCAACGATTTCTCCAAAATTGGTTCCCATAAAATTTACCTCTATTCATTTTAAATTTAAAGTAACATACCTTGTTGTACAAGTTGTTCAGTTACAATCAAGAACTTAAAGTTTGGGCCAACAAAAACTAAATAATTGGAGGTAAACTACGTACACTGCAGACTAGAGGGTAGTTTCTTACATCCAGAAATTTGGTCACAAAAGCTGAATTTTTTTTTTGTCTTGTCTGAAAACACAACCTTAAATTTTGATTTTTCAAAAAATTTAATGTAAACAAGCTGAAAGTTCCCCAGAGGAGCTTTAAAAAGTTTTATTTTTTAACTATCCTGCAGAGCTGATGTGCTTTAAGACTTTCCTGCACCTCAAATCTCCAGTTTTCAGGAGCTAACAGGAAGAAGCAGTTGCTGCACTGGGCGGGTAATTAGCATAAATGTTTAAAACTTTTAGTGATAATTGGCTAAAATCTGCCATGTAATCCTTACAGAAATATCCACTTAAGTATGTTTTCGATTTCTGCCATGACTGTTCAGCATCAAACAGTAAAGACTTGTCTTGTTAGTGTGGAGATGTGTCCTGAACAGCTGTGTCAGACATTTGTGTCAGACTCAGTGCCTACCTGCAGTTGTTGTCAGGAGCGATCAGATAGCAAAGTTTCTAGTTTGGAAAATTTTGACACGGTTTACGTGATTTTACCTTGGCCACGTTCAACACATCTAAACCACAAACTTCTCTAAGTAGGCTGAATAGTGTTTCTTTCTTTTCTCTACAGAGAATGCTGTCTGACGCCGGTCAGCCCAGAGTCATGTCCCCTGGTCCAGGCTTTCCTGGCTGAATGTCCAGGCCGCATATTCCTTGGACACGCCCAAACACAGCTAAAGACAGGCCTGCAGACCCAGGAGAGACACCTCTTCCTCTTCACGGACACGCTGCTCGTCGCCAAAGCCAAGTAAGTTTCCTTCTGTCTGTTTTCTGAAATGACAGAGTGAAAGAAGGAGTGTGTGTTTATGTGGTTTTATGAGTGAAAGCATGACGGGAAAAGGGAGACAGAGAGGCGTAAACAGGAAAAATCTGAAGTGACACAAATATGAGGAAAAAAGCAGCAATTTTTCAACAGTTCCAATTTTTCTTGAAAAATAAAAATCGACAACGAGTTCAGTTGTATTCATCTGCTGTCTTTCTTTTTCACTTTCCTTGCCTTACCCCCCAGCTGCTTCTTCTACTTCTCTCTCCCTCCCTCCCCAAGTATATAATTATTTCCCAGCCAATTAAACCCATATGAAGCCTGGCTCAGATCAAAGCCACACTGGCCTGCCTTGAGCAGAAAGTATGGGGCTTCCCACCCACAAGCTGCAACACACACTCATAGACACACATTCAAAAATAGAAACCTAAAAAGCATATGCATGTTTTGAAGTCCAAAAAAACACGCAAACATGTGCTAATACCCACATATAAACACTCAAACATGCAGGAACAGAGACAGACTGATGCTGTGCGCACACATATACTTACTTGACACACATACAGTACATGCATACTTCTCTGTGGACCTTTGTGGTCATGTGCCAGTGGGTGGAGCTGACCCTTCCTGTATGGAGAGCATATGCTATAATTGGTTTTATTACATTGTGGTTCAAAACAGAGTTAAGTTAAAGGAATGTGTGCTGGTATGTGTGTGTGTGTGAGAGAGAGAGAGAGAGAGAGAGAGAAGAAGTTAATTGATGTGTTTGTGTGTTTGCTTCCTTCATAACCCTGGAGTCGCAAGGAGAGTGAATGTGTTTGCCACATGTGTACGTTTGGAGTTTTTCCTGCTTTAATAACAGATGTAGTGGTTGATAAATACACTTCTAGTGAGCCTACCAGTCTTAAAAATGCTAAAAATAGTTGAAGCTTTTTATATTCTGATCTATATAAAAAGGACTTCTGAAAGATTGCCATATGCATGAGGTTTGTGGAGAAACATTACAGAGAGATGTTACAAAGAAAATTAAAAGTTTGAATGAAACTGTCGGGGACCCAAATACATTCCTTGTGGAACACCCCAAAAAATCTAGTTTTCACTCAAAGGAGCTTTTTACAGATTCTGTAATTTATTGAAAACACATGTAATAAGTATGTGATGATACTAAAACTAATCCGCAAAAGCAATGAGACCATCAACATAGAGACTGACTGTCTCTATAAAGTTATTTTTAAAGTTTAAAATTGCTGGCAGGGGTAGGTGTCAGTCAAATTGATGAACTGCATGCTAACAAACCTTTTTTTTTTTCAAATTTTCTATGGCAAAAATTTCAAGTGAGTAATACATTTGAGTTTTAAAATACTAGAGTTACATTTTTTCTGTGATAAAACACCACTTTACCATGTACAGGACAGCTATGAGATGTCCACAGGATGCACCCAAATCATAATAAATTAGAAGTTCTTTGCGGGATCTTTACCTCATTAACAGAATATTTACTTGCAACTAGTTAGTCAGTTGATGTATTATTATCCAAGGAACTTTTAGCTCAAAATGTAGAGGATCTGAATATGTTCCCTGTGGAAAAACTTGAAAACAAAGGGTTTTTGTTTTTAGCAAAGGATCTTAGATACTGGTGCTTCTCACTTGTGGCTTTTTCAGTCTTTCTTCTATTTGCCTGTCTACACAAACTCACAGAGACCGGCGAGAAGGGTTGCTTTGTGGTGCCTTATCTTAATGTAACTAACTTGTGTCTTTTCCAGGTCTCCAACTCATTTCAAGGTGAAATCCCAAGTCAGAGTGTGTGAAATGTGGACCGCCAACTGCATGGATGAAGTCTGTGAGGGAAGCACATATGCAGAGAGAAGCTTCGTCATGGGCTGGCCTACCTGCAACTATGTGGCTACCTTCAGGTATTCACATTGATTCACTATAACATAAAAGAAAATGAATGCCTTGGGGAGGAATTGGCAGACAGGAACAATTCAATGTTACAACTTCCTGTTATATAACTTCATTCAGTACATCTGCCTGCATTGCACGACACTGAATCATGCTGTGCACGAGGTACATATTTCTGGGAGTCACTTTAGCACACATCTAAGCGGGAACACCGTGTACTGGGGTGCGAATGTACACTATAGAGGGAAACTCTAGACTCTACACACAACCACAAAATCCCTAAACCTCTGAGTGTGAAGGCAGTTTCCAGTCCTAAAGCCGCTCAATGTGACCGCAGGAAGACGAGAGTAAATAACCATGCGAGGACAACCGGCACGAACATGTTACACATGCAAACACATTCTGAAATGCTGTGTTGTATATTTGTAATTTCCTCGATGTTGTACACATATTTCTACTAATTCAAAACCACTCGTTATAGTTTCCGTCATCAGGAATCCAGTCGTAGCTCAAGGGGAGGGATGTCTGCGGTTTTAGCCAACAGGAGTTACATAACAGCCGAAGAGACAGTCGTTTGAAACATGATTTGACTCTTATTATGTTTTATCACTCTCCTCCTCAGCTCCGAGGAATATAAAGACAAGTGGTTGACACTCGTAAAAAGGTAAGTGTTTGGTTTGAACCCCCTATTAATGCCTTTTGCTATTTACTTTATTGCAAATCAAATTTCCACTAAGTGGCAGGAAATATTTGATTTGGATGAAGGAGGTTATAAAACTGAAGCTGGGGTGATGTAAATTAGAGGAGTTATGAGATGTATTTATAAGATCTAAACCCTAATAAAGAACAGAACCGAGCAAAGGCTTTCGAAACAATCACCTAGCTGTTATTTTACATTGTCTCATTGTCTGTAAATGTTTCCCCTTTTCGGCTTGATCGACTGTTTATTCAAATGCTACTGTTGTTTATCACAGACATCTTTTTCTCTTTAAACAGTCGGATTCTTGATGGGAAAGAGAAAGACGATCCCAAGACCATTCCTCTGAAGATCTTTGCGAAGGACATTGGAAATTGTGCATATGTAAGGCTCTCCTCTTACTTCACTGATTTTTACTGCCTCCATCAGCACAAAAATCAATATTGTTTGATTGCAAAGCCTGTACTTGAGTGGGTAATTTTTGACATCAGTAGCAACCCAAACAACGACTATTTTCCATACTGTTTCCACCAGGCCAAGACACTTGCGGTCAGCAACACCGACAGCACCACTGATGTCATCCGCATGGCTTTGCTGCAGTTTGGCATATCAGTGAGTAACCAAAGACCGCTGTTGATTCTCTGCATCAAATCCAGCCGCCATAATTCGATATAATGTTAAAAAGAGTCTCTGATTGTTAAAGTGGACTCCACTGCTTTCCACTTTGGATTGTGGAATTAAGGTTTGATTAGGTTTTGGTTTTATTATGCAACGTTTTAATGGCGGGAAGCCCAGAAATCAGCCACCTCCTGCTACTGGTCTTTGCCCTGTATTTTCGAGACAGACATTGTGGCCGAGTCAAAGGACCAAAGAGGATATTGACAAAGCAGAGAGAAAGAGAAAGAGAAAAAAGAAGCAAGACACCAGACTCAAGCAAATCCTAGACTGGCTTTTACTAGTCAGGGATGAAAATAACGTGTTTTAAAGACAGCAGGGGCGTCAAATTGCTGATTTAAAAAAGACAATCTTGCATAACGTTGATTGAAATGTCTTTTTACGATGTCTCAGAGGATCAGTACTGAAGAGTGCAAACAAAGTCAAACCAGACTGTTGAGCAACTGACAGTTCAGATTTAGATATAATGTTGTCCTTGTATTTTAGATGCCAAGTTTACTATTTTTACAACTTGAGTTCCTCTTCTTGTTAACAGTATCGTCAAAGAGCATGAATGTGTTGGGTCACTGGCTAATCTACATTTATAGAAGTCTTAAAAACAGAAATATACCCTGGTGAAGGTACTATAGAAGTTCAAAGCAGTCAAAGAATATGCGATTCAACTTCTTCTTTTTCATTGTCCAGGGCTGCGTTAAAGACCACAGGTTGTGGGTGAACTCCAGTAAGGACGACCCTCCATACCCTCTCATTGGTGAGTCCACCTGTCATAAACCTTGAAAAAACTTGTTCCTTTAGCTGGTATTTTTGGTCCCTTCATGATACTACTGTTCCCTTGAAACCCACATGGCTGCTTTTAATGATGTCTTCATAAATTCCTTATAAATGAAAAATAGAAAAACCCGCCAATCATCCCCCCATGAGGGATGTTTTGGAAACTTAAAAGCACCAAAGCAGAGAATACCCACAGTGGGGGTCTGCACTGTACAATCACCAACAGAACAACAAAACCTCGACATCTGGGAGCATTTTAAAACACCTGGTTTCTGTCACAGCAGTATTTCTGTAATATTTTGTTTCAATAATCCTTTGCTCTGTCGTTCACACTAAATTTGAAACATCCTGACCACTGATTCAGAGAAGCACGACTCAAGTTATATCTACATTTTTACCAACTTCTTTTTTTTTTACTTCAGCTCCGTGTCTAACCCTTAAGGTCTGATTTGATTTAGGCCACGAGTTTCCCTTCAGCATCAAGATGAGCCACATCCGGGATGGTGGGAGCAGCAGTGCAGGCGGACTAGGCCGGGACGCAGCAAGTCCGACAGACTGTCCAGGGGTGCTGCTTCTGGACCAGTGTCTCCCCCCGGACACCCAGTGCCAGTTTATCCTCAAACCGAACAAGGCCATGCAGGGACAGGCTCCACTGATAGGTAAGACAAAGAATCGCTTAGTGTCTCAATTACTTTTCTTTAAGTTTAGTACGCACTAAAAACACACACAACACAACTCGCAGTAAAATAAAGTTCACATACATCTTCGCAAGAATAAGGTCAGGTAACAATATATGAGGATAAGGAAACATGTTATCTAACAGTGTTCGTTTGACATATATATTGAGTGGCTTTTGTTCATTCTCAACATTAGTCAACAGACTTGCAACACAGAGCTTTATGGTTTCCATCTAGATGGTCAGTCTTTGTCATGCAGTATCCATAAATCTATTTCTCTATGTAACCGCAAGAGGAAACATGTGGATAGAGAAGTATTAAAGCAGAACAGCAAGTACTTCCTTCAAATTTGTATCGCTTACATAAACCGTTTCGGTTTGTTTGCGCTCATTCTTGGCGCTTACTGACACACAGTCATGTTGTTTTCTTTGAGGACGAGCTGGTGGGTGCGAAAGAAGGAAAGCAGTCAAAGAGAATGGTGGGAAAGGATATTTTAGCAGACAATGAGGGTTACAGCAAAGGTTAGAAGAGGCACAGTTGTCAAAATAAAAAAACAGCAGACAGACAAAGAGGAAGAAACCCCAGAAGAGATGGATGAGGGTGAGAATAGGAAGATGGAAAAGAGAAAAGAGATGACACAGCTATTGGGTAATCCTGAAGGTCAGCGTAGGTGACGAAAAACAAACAACAGGCTGTAAGAGATAAACACAGATTAAAAGAATAGATGAGAAAAATGAGGAAAAGAAGAAAGAAAAACAAGAGGATTGTGGACAGAAAGAAAGACGAGAAATGGGGATACAGAAACCAGGATGGAAAAAGACGGGGACTGGGGTTAAGAGGAGAAAAGTGTATGTTTTCCAGTCAAGGAGGCTTCAGTTTGCCAACCACAGTCTTCTCCTCGGATTCCTTTGCCTCAAGCAAAACAGAGCCTTACATAACCGTTCCATACCAACCCCGCCGCCATGTAAGCCTAATGGTACACGCCCAACCCGAAAGCTAACGAAGTGTGTATTTATTGAGCTGCAGCCATGGCAGAAGCCCCTTTGTGGGCAATTATTTTCAAACAAACCCACAGGCGATTCAGCCTCCGATGTAAGGCCTAACAGACTAATTGGAACGTATTTTCCCCCAAGCCTTTTCAGACTCACTGCATACCTCATGTGCACTTGATATCGGTTCGAGATAATTAATTTCTGGCGTACGTTAATCTTAATGCAGTAATGATGCATGAATCCAATATTGGTACAGTACTGGAACATTTTGTTTTAAACCTTGTTCAAATGTTCAACATGACATAAGCCAAAAGACATACAATCTTCTCACATGATTGTAAGGGGAAATATTCAGTGTCAGCTTTTGTTACTTCTCAATTGTCAATATTTGCGATGAACTCATTTGATCTGATTCCAGCAGGTTTGACATCCAGTTTAACTGTCAAATGATAATCCAGTCTGAATAGGACAAAGACCTGTGGTGGCATTTCAGCGCCATAAATGCCCCTTTTATAGAACTTGGTTGATTTGGCAAACCTTCCATCAGGATATTGTCAGTCAGGTCCTTCTAAAACACTTCAGACCACTACAAAAACTGTTTAGATGACTTAATATAATGGCTGTTGAGGGTAAAACAACCACCAGGTTAAAACCAGAGCCAGAATTTACACCTCTGTTTACTAGATTGCTTGACATCTGCGAGTTTGTTGCCAATCTGGCCAAACAAACCTCGTCATGTCTTGTGTTTTATGAGGGGAACACCTCGTGTTGCACCTGTTTTGTAACACCAAATGATAATTACAGCAGGATGACAGACGTCGCCCACCCATTCGACGAGGTATCTGTTCCCTCGTTCCAACCTCTCCACAACTCTTCTCCGACTAGCAAACAGTTATGATGTAACGACGGATTTACACCCAGGTCATGTTTTTCTCAATGATGCCGAGGCCCGCTGAGAAGTGCCAGAGCAACCCGGTAATTATGTTACCGCTGAACTTTGTTCCAGAGATTGTGCAGGCATGACGCCATGGCACATCATTAAATGATGAGTTCTGTGTGAGGTATGTCACATATTTTTGTGGGTTCAATTGGGCGGCTGAGTTCCTCCACCCATTGGAAGAATCTCAGGTCCATCAGAAGAGCTCCACCCTTGGATGCAAATCAAGAAAAAATGATTAAGTTGGTGTTTTTAAATTGAGATCTTTAGGGAATCACCTTGATGGCCCTTTGCAAGATTTACTCCAGTTTGTGCAGTTTTTGAAGAGGTGTAACGAAGCCCAGCAATGGCAGTCGCCATGTTGGGAATGCTGGCTTAATCTGACTTTTGGTCACCTAGCAACAGGAGAAGAGGTGGAGTTGATGTGGGCCCTAAGCCCTCTGGCAAACATCCGCAGCACACCAGCCTTTCAGTCAACTGTCTCGCCCACTTTAAGTAAAAAACAAAGGTCCTCTGAGTGTAACTGATGAGGTGTTTATTCTCTATTTGATATTAGAAATATTCTAAATTCTGACACTAAGTTTCTCGTTTGTGCTGTCCATGAATATTAGTTTCAAATAGATTATCGGCCTCAGGACCAGTTGATAATCTGTATTTAGTATTGGCCCTGAAAAATCAATGTTAGTCAACTCCTAATCCTGACTTATTCTCAGCCTGTAATCATGTCTGTTTCTGTCCTAAAAGTAGGCATTCAAATAAGGGCATCAGTGGGGCATCCCTGGTTTTTGTAGTGAGCCCCAAGTGGACATCTATGGAATTACATTTTCTTTTGCACTTCTGTATTGGTTTCATTTTTGAACACCTGGGATTATCTCTTTGTTTTATCAGTTTTTCATACAGTGTCCAGTATCTGAGGGAGAAATACTGTTTTGAAATTAAAGACTGCTATATTAAGTGTTTCTGCTTGTTTTAAATCCTTTATTTTCTTTGTTTGGGAGAAGAAGTAAAGCCCACTTTTCCACGGTTTAATCCTAATGTATATTTGAAGGAGGAAACCAAAAACTCGTTGAATATCAAAATGAATTTCCAGAGCATTTAAGTCCATTAACTAAGACATGCCTAGCTTCTAGTTTTCAGTCTTATGTAATAAAAGATGTTTGTACTAAAGCTTGAAAATGAGCCTGCGGTGTTGTTCCCAAAGTCACCTGTTTTCTGTTAGATGAAGGCAGCGCAGCTCTGGATCAGGATCCTCCTGTTGTTTTCTTTCCTGCTGTTGAGGTCATTTTGCGTTGACATCAGTCTAAACAGGACAATGTTTGCTGTATGTTCTCATCATAATCCACTCGGATGCACACATGCTATGTAGTTTCATAAGAGGAGAATCCTGCCGTGCTGTTATGTCACAGAGAACACGTCTGTGCTGAGAAGACACACCTGCACACAGACAGACACAGGTAGACATTGTGACTTAGCACCACTGAGCAAATGTCAAACAAGGATCACAGTCACAGGCTGTCAGAGACCGACAAAGCCTCTTACATGCACATGTTTTCACGCACAAAGCACACAGAGATGAACACAGACACCTATAGACACATGCAAAACCTCAAATGGTGCTCTGGAGCGTGAGGGCAAGTCTGCATGTGTTTCCCTCACAGACTGAATCCACAGTTCTGCCCCTCTATCGCTGTCTTTCTGTTCAATCTGAGCCTAAATATGTAGAAACTCTATAGGCTTTCTCTGACTTGGTGGATGGATCTTTTAACAAATGTCTTTCGGGGTGTCACAAGTAAGAAATAAGACTTAAGGTGCTTGCAACAAAACAAATCTGTTGGTGGGGTGTGCAGAATGTGCACAAGTTTCATAAACTACTGCATCTTTCCTTTTTCAAGAAACTTAGTGATGTTTTCTTATCACATTGGCAGACAATTCTGCTACTAACAAGCAATGTCAGTCAATTTTTTGATTGTAACATCCTGAAAAAACACATGTCAGGATGGAGGCTCAAAGGTTTTTTGACACGGACGATTGTGAAATTAACTGTAATATATAGGGATGTTAAATGATGTGCAAGAGCAAAGACCGTAAGGAGACAGTTTTTTATAATTTTTAAGGCTTGTAAACAATGCGAGGGCATAAGTCTCAGCTCAACAGCTAGAGAAAAAGCTCTGTTTTTATGATTTTCCCATCAAATATCCACAATAAATGATTTTTTTTAGTCAGAGGACATAAGCAGAGACTGCCCTGCCCATAAGGGTCGCCACAAACTAAAAGTTCTTAACATGAGCTTTAAGTTACGTATAATGATTTATTTTGACTAGAAATACAATGTAAGACAGAAAGATTTGTTTTGATTTTTTTCAGTGTACAAGTCGATATATCTTAGCTGTAACTAATAAACACAAAGAAACACAAAGCAAGTATCTTAAATGTTGTGAATGTAAAGCTGCCTCTGAAGTGTCTATAAAGAGCTTTCAGACATCCGGACTGTTTATGGCCCAGTTTTCAACTAAAAACCAGGTTAAACCTCAGTTGGTCCAACATCTGGGTCTTTTCAGGCTAACTGCTCAACAATTCACAAACCTACATTGTTGAAAAATCCAATGGGGACCCACACAAATCAGATATTACAAAACACTAAAACATGAGCTGAAGTTTTTGTGGAATCAAGCCATCAAGCAGTCCTGGACACGAATGCTGTCCTGTGAGTCCAGCTCACATTTTAATATCTGAAACCACAGCTCACTTCTCCCTCTTCTGTGTCACCCCCCACAGAGCCCGGTCAGCAGAAGTCCTTCAAGAGAAAAAGATCTCTGATCAACTGGCCTTTCTGGAAAGGCTCCAACACACAGCTGGACGGCCTTCCCTTGTCTCCCAACTCACTCTCCCCCACTCTGGGACGGCTGTTCGGACGACCCCTGAGCTCCGTCTCCTCTGCAGAGCACGGCCTGCCCAAGCCTGTCATGGTGAGCTGAACAGAGGTCACATAGGCCAGCAGGAGAGGGGTCAGGACTCAGTCTGGAGGGGGTTACGGGATTTATAGAGAGTTTACAGTGTGTTTGGAGAAAGAGAGATGCAGTTGTTTACAAAAGTAGATCAAGTCCTGGGTGGAGAGCCAGTCCTGGGTGATAAATCTTTGGGAGTTTTTGGTGTTAATGCTCAGTAACTTTGCTGGACTTCTCAGAGAAATGGTTTTAGTTTAATTCCTATTAAAGAAGAAAAGTGGATTGGCTTGAGAAGTGAAACTCCAATCTGCTGAATAGGCAGGCTGAAACCAACACATTTCACAAGACTGTTTACTTTCTGTGGATCTCATCCTTTGTCCAGTTTCAAATAAATGTAATAGATATTTTTTGCTAGGCATTTTAATTTTTAACCCTTTCTGACCTTCTATATTTACCGTACATACCAGTTCATTTTTAGCTCTAACAGCTTTAACAGTTAACTCTGATGGGGCACTTTCAAATAAAGTCTCTTTTCTTCGTAAACAATAAAACCCTCATGAGTCAGCAGTAAATAAATGTAACAGATTCCTCTCAGTCACCAAATAAAACGGATTCTCAGAAATGATGATTCAGAAATGAAACAAACAAACAACAGGCCCTGGCAAAGCGAAATCCACTTAATCTCTGTCGTTTTGACTTCCTTTGATTTCAACATCTTGGACTTCTGGCAGGTTTTCCACAAGCAATCAAGTCCTTTGTGTTAAACATTAAAGGCTTGAGTTATAAACTCACAAAGTTGCTGCAGATTTTAGGATTTCGCTTCCACCAGAGTAAAAACTATAACACTTTGTTCAGTGGCTAAGATTAAAGACGGAGGAAAGTAAATTTCCAGCTAGCCAGATAAGATTTCTCAGTAACACTACTAAAAAGCATTTTTCACTCTCAGCCACTCGCTAACTTTTGCTAAACTTCACTGGTGGCTTATAAGCAGTGAAGTCATTTTAATTTCTACACGCTGAAACAGAAGAATGTAATCTTCCACTGAGCGACTGTGTGAGTGTGGGCAGTCCAGAATATAGTAAAAAGAAATCTGAACTGTAGGTAACCTTTCTTCTCCACTCCTCTTCTCTAGGACATGCTGGTGTTCTTGTATTTAGAGGGCCCGTACACCAGGGGTGTCTTCAGGCGCTCCGCGGGGGCCAAAGCCTGCAGGGAGCTGCGGGACAGGCTAGACAGCGGGACTGAGGACCCAGAGATCACACACCAGTCTGTGTTCGTTATTGCCGCTGTCCTCAAGGTAACACACAAACACACTTAACCTAACACAGAGCCATACTCTACTTCTCTGTACTGGTTTGAAACCAGAAGACAGAGAGCGGGAGTGTCTGATGTGCGTCCAAAGTCACCTAAAGTCCAGACAGGATAATCTGTCTGTGCTCAGCCAGGCAGGCTGCCAGTCACACACACAAGGTGCTGCATTGTTCAGCATCCAGACCTAACAGCCACCACAGAGTGGAGCATCCAGGGAGCCGCAGAGGTGGCTCTCCAGTTTAATACAGAGCTGATTCATCTCTTCACTCTGTTATGGTTTACCTGCTTTCTGCACAATGGACAATTATTGTGACTCACCTGAGACAGAGAAAAATGATGTTGAGCAATCAGCCCTTTGACAGATAATCAACCGATGGCACTTGAAATAACAGCTGAAGTGCTTACGTTCCTCAATGAAAAATGTAGAGTGCCCTCATCTGAATATCAGTCAGCCTCTGTCCTTTTCCGGTGAGACAAAAATAGATATTAATCACTTTTAAGCACAAAATGTAAGAGTTACATCATCGGTTTTTGGCATTTACATTGTGTCCTTTTGAATTCAGAGTCATTTTTTATATTTTTTAGATGTAAGAGATTAACCCAGATCTTGATTGTTGAGTTAAGGATGTTTTTTTTGTTTGTTTTTGTTTTTGCACACAGGACTTCCTGCGAAACATCCCAGGCAGCATCCTGTGTGCTGATCTGTACGAGCAGTGGATGGATATGATGGAAGGAGAGGGAGGAGAGGAGAGGATTCAAGCTGTCCAGAGGTAGAAAAACTGAATCATAATCCCAAATTTGAAATAACATCATGCTCAACACTAAGACTAATGATTTGTAGAAGAATGTACAGTGTGTTATTCTGTAGACCTGAATTCATGAGAACTTCTGTTTGAGTTTGTCTCTGACTCGAAGTCCGTCTCCTCTCTGTCAGGCTGCTGAACCTCTTGCCTCCTGAGAACCTGCTTCTGCTGCGTCATGTGATCGCCGTGCTGCACTGTATCCAAGGCAACGCACACGACAACCAGATGAACGCCTTTAACCTGTCAGTCTGCATCGCCCCCAGCATGCTTTGGGCACCGGCGCCGAGCACCCCTGAGATGGAGGGAGAGGGCACCAAAAAGGTGAGGATGGACACACACACTAATAAAGTTATGAGGTATTTTAACCTGTTGATAAATCCCTGATTGGCAGACGGTAAGATATTATAAATGATTTGAATTCAAACTTTATTATATTGGCTTTTTTGAGAGCGTAATTAGAAGATTAAAGAGATATTTTGGCATAAAATCAATTAAATCAATCAATTACCTAAATTAATTTCACGCTGGAATATCCCTTTAATGTCAGGTCAAGATATAGAGCTCATCAAATAACAACAATCAATACCCAGAAATTTCCCTCTGAGTTCACTGAGCAGCTTGCAGAGACAGGGACTTTCACGTTTCAGTGGAATAATAGATGTAAACTCCCTCAGCATGCGTGTGTACGTGCTGCTGCGACAGACAGACAGATGATATGAGGAGCTGAGATCTCACTGACTCACTCCTCTATGTGTGTGTGCACACGTGTCCACACACTGACGTCTCTGAAGCCATTCGTCAGCAGCAGCCGTACAGTTTCCCCCGAGCAGCTTTGACCTCCAAGCAGGAGCTGACCCAGTAACACAGCTGCAACACACACACCCAACCCCACACACACACACACACACCAACACACACACATGCTCAGTCACATTCGCATGTCGTCACTGCCGATCACTCATAAGCTAAAATCACAACACTCTTACAGTCGACTGAGCCAGAAATCCCCGAGCTTAGAGCAAGACTTGACAGGAAAGAGGAGAGATTCACAGTTTCACTCTGACGTGCTCCCAAACACACAAGGAAATCTGTTTCTCATTTACTGCTTTACGGCTCACAGAAATATTTCACCATTAGAGGATTAGTTTCTCCAATGTCATATATGCATCTGATGATATGTATGCATACAAATTCAGTTTTACTTCTTCTGGCTCATACCAAACAACATTTTTAAAGTGATTTAACTGTTACCACTCAGTCAGAGTTTCAGTCTTTTTTTTTTAATGGCATTAAAAAACTTACAGCAATATTTTAGTTCTCAATAGATTCTCGTTTGCGGTCAGATCTTGTATTCTGTTACTTCAGGTCTCTTTTAAAGTGTCTCTTTAAACATTTTTAAGTTGCTTTTAAGTCTTAATGTAAGAAAAGGGCATTTAGCATTCAAAGTTGGTTTAAATTACAGTAAGCCAGTGAACTCTTTTCTAGATAAACAGACGTTAATTATTTTTGTAAAGTGAAAACATCCTCTGCAGGAATGATCCTTGTGCTGGGTATTTAGGCTCTTTTGGCTCCGTATTGTTTCTTCCTCAAATGCTGGTCAGCCAGGATAACCTGAACTGACTTCATTTCCCAGCAGCAGCCACAGAGGAAGCCCCCTGACCCACCAAAGCCCATGATACTCTCACTAAGACTGAAAGAATACAAAGCCCACTGATTTGTGGCCTATTTGGAAAGTCACCACAGTTGACTTAAACACACAATCTCAGTGGGTGGCTGCCCGGCATATCTTTTCAGATACGTGTGTGTGTGTGTGTGTGTGTGTGTGTGTGTGTGTGTGTGTGTGTGTGTGTGTGTGTGTGTGTGTGTGTGTGTGTGTGTGTGTGTGTGTGTATGTTGGAGGTGGCTGAGGTTCATTGAGAAAACATGCAAAGAATTTCCAACAGAATCCCGAGGCCGAGTGTGTGTTTTAGTGGAAAACTGTGTCGCTGCAACACCCTTCCCTACCCTGTCCCTCTTTACACACACATGCACAGCTCTAATTCTCCAACACCCACAAATTCCTGAATATCTCTAACACAAATACCCCCTGATAACACTTTCCCTCCCCACATGCTGCTTGTTTGTGTGCAGGCGGCCTTATTCTGGGAAAAAAGGCTACAAAAAATAACAAAAGGGAGATTTCAACATTTCCCTCCTCGCGGTCAGAGCCGGGGGCCAACTTAAACCGGCGTGGGCCCCTGACCGCGTAATGGCTGGTTTCCAGCCTTGTCATAAGACACGTGAGAGCTCAGTTTCAGCCAATTCGGTCCAGCCTGTCTTCACCTCTGCAGCGTATAATTTAGATATTTTTGGCTGGACAGACTGTAGCTGTTTGGGAGTGACTGAGGTAAAAACAGCTTTAGTGTGTTTGACTTTAGATGGAGACAGAGAGAGATAGATCATCAAAAACAACTTTGTTTTCCTCCTTGGTTTGGTTCTTGAAATGTAAACTTGATGCTTGTTCTTCTTTGTTTGATCCACATTGCTTGTGTCTATTAGTGGAAAAAACACAGCTGGATTTCTGTGTTGACGGCCCCTCAGAGGTGACCCACTGACACACAGCTGGAACATCCTTTAAAGCACACACACCGACACTCAGACACAAACTGTGTGTGTGTGTGTGCTCTGCGTCTACAGCAGTGATAGAAAGTCAGCTCTCAACCTGCTCTCCTACTGTAAATAACTTCGTGAAAGACAGGTAGAATTTGTCCTGTTTCCTGAATGGTTTAAAGACGGTTTAAAAAAACATCCTACTGAAGCAAAAAAGAAGAAGCTGTTCTGAAAAGGCTCTTGATGGAGTGGGTTGAGTCACCTGTGTGCCTACGGGCTCTCTGTACTAGTGCTTTGCAACACGTAGCAGCTCTCTCTGAGCGACAGGAGGAATGCTTGGTGAGTGATGGGAGGAGGTGAGGGTACGGAGAGAATAGCAGGTGAGATAAGAGTGAATGAAGAGAGGCAAGCTGTCCAAAGACTAGGGAACAAGTGAAAGGAAAGGAAAGGAAAGGAAAGGAAAGAAGGAGGTGAAAGGCTTGTGTACTCAACAAAAACTCAAATCAAAGAGTTTTTGTCTTAATTCTGGTAAAAAAAAAAGTCTTAACTTAAGCAGCGTTTGCCTTAAAAGTCCAGAAAAAGGGCTTATTTCACAAAAATTTCATGGCAAAAATAAGTAAAAAACAGAAAAGCCACCAAAGGAAAAATAACATAATTACCTTTTTTCCCTCATTTCAAGCTATTCAGTCCTATTTTTGGCATGAAATAAGCTGTTTTTCTGGACCTGTCTGCTGAATGTGGCTTCAGTTCATCGGTATAAGACTTTCTACCAGCAGTAAGACAACAAAAACCTCAGATTTGAGGGTGTTTTTCAGTGTTGCAACCAGTGGTGTAAAGTAAATATGCTCTGTTATTAAACTTGAGTATTTTTAGTGAGTATGTACTTATTGTCAGAAAAAAAGTAGAAATATTCTGAACACTTTCTTTTTTTTTTTACATTAGCTGCTGTTTTAAAGTACATTTGTGTAAAAACAGTCCACATCAACAAGAACGTTTCATTTTCATAGTCATACATCTCTGCTGGATTTGTCCACAGAGCTTAAATCTGAGCGACACACTCTGAACAGGCTGCATTTCAATAATCCATCTCTCATTCTGTTAAGTTTTCCAGGGAACAGTTTATTTTTATAACATGTAGGTCAAATGCAGCAAAACACATGTACTCCAATGCCCTACTACATACAGTCAGTCTGAGAGCAGACATGCTTTGTATTGTTTTTTTAAAGCCAGTCCAACCCATAATCCTCGTTGCGACAGAAGATTTATCACATTGGCTGAATCACTGAGAGAGAGCAGACAGATGACGGTGCAATGATGGACACCAGTGCAAGAACAGGGCAGAGATGACAGATGTTTGTACATCTGTGGAGGGCAGTGTCTTATGAGAAAGCAGACTGTTTCTATTTATTTATAGATGTTCTCTGCAAGAGCAGCTGTCTGTGATAGTGCACAAAAAGTAGAGGTTGACTTTTGACATGTGGGCCTTTAAATCCATGCAGCTTTTTTCTGCATTTTCAGAGTGAATTGGTTATTGACTGCATTCTTCTGTGGTACATGTGCACCTGCCTGTTGCCAGCTGGACAGCCTGTCAGTATCACATGATGTTCTGTTTTTCTCAGCTATGAGACAGTGGAACATGTCACAAAGCTGCAGCAATATCCAAATATCTCACCTGTAATCTCAAACAGGTTTATTCACTTTGGGATGATTGAGTCATCTCACTCTCCCTGAAGTAACTCACTCACATGCCTCTGTGTTTTTCACAGTGATGCACTCTACCTGTGCTGATAGTAAAACTGATAGGACAGAGCAGCTGCATATGATCTACCTGCAGGTTCTCATGTTGTTTGCTATTAGGAGTCCCAGACAGTAAAGGTATGTGCGATGGAGATTGCTTTTGCAGCACAGTCACAGCAGCTCATTGTCTGCACAGATGGGAGTTTCATGAACGTAAAGTACAGCCAAGTAGCTTTCATACAGCTGTTATATGTACATGTGATACCTTAAGAACGGTAGTGATCTCACTGTGAAGGTAAAACCAGAAGCTGCATTTGATCTTTAAAAATATTTAAGGGATTAACCGTGCCGTGTGGTTTAAATGAAAGTCTAGTGAATTTAATCAAAGCCGCTATAAAGACGTTTTTTTTTTGGCACGAATGAAATAGACTAAAATTCATATTGATATCTTTTTCATGATTTCAAAGACTCAATAAAACCATGAGGCAAAGATTGATAATTCCTATAGAGTCATTCTTAATGCCTGAAACTGTTCCGAGGTAGGAGTCAAAAAGCATTAGCAGAAACAGCCTTTATTTCACAATTTTCACATACAATAATCACAATAGATTACATACTGACCCTTTACTGACCCTATTTCAACATGTAAATAAAGATTGTTTTCTACTGGCTTCGTGAGAAAATGAGTCTCAGACCTCAATAAACTTATATCTCCCTCATTCTCAGCAGGTTGTGCGCTGTTTTGCTATACAGTCTCATCATGTCTATAAACTGGGTCCTGTTACCCTTTTGGATGCTACACAGACATATGAAGAGACAACAGCTGGCCCTACAAACAAACACAGAGGCCCTACGGAGTATTGGTCTCAGTTTCCATAGTGTCATGGCGGCAGGGCCATGCTGGGAAAAACAACGCATTCATAAACACAACAGGCAGGTTTTAGTGGGAATTTTCCACAAGTTGAGGGAGAAGATGAATCTGAGGTTCCAGAGTGTCGCTGGTGTTTGGATCACAGGACATCATACTGTATGTTCTCGGTGAATTGTGTCTGTTTAGTTAAAAAGACGGTGAATGGTTTCGGTCAAGTGATATGATTTGTTTGGTGGACAGATGCCAACTAAGCTGATAATTCCCGAAAACCACAGACGTTGTGTCGGCCTTTTTTCAAACTTGGACAGTGTTTGCTCCTTTTTCAAATCTATTACTCCCTTTATACCTTCTGCAGCGGTTATCATGAGTATTTGCAACAAATTACCATGACTTTAATGCGCTTATCTCAGAAAACATTACAAATTATGTCTCGTCTGTCAAAAGCTCATACTTTGGGTGCGTCTGTCTCAGTGTTTCGACACACATTTAAGCAGGCGATAATCAAAGCCAATACATGATGTCACATCCTATTATCTGGACATTATCCAGGACCGGAAAAAAAGAAGTTTGATATTTTCTCTATCAGTGTGGAATGCAAATACTCTTGTAGTTGGAAGTGCAAACAAATGAAGGCTTTTCTCAGAGGGATGATATGGGACACCCACAAAAAAAACAACTCTAGACAGCTGTTTGGAGTCGGTATCACAAAGTTATTTAGGTCAAAGCTAGTTGCTACAGAAGCACACACAAAAATCCCATTAATTTCCAATGTTTCAGCAAACCACAGGATTTCTAATCACTGCCAAAATGTTTACTTGACAGCATGATTTTACTTATTGTTATTACGGGGTGTGTATTTTCTTTGACTTTGGCAAATTTGTACACTGTGAGACTTTGCAAAAATGCACGCTCAGTAAATCACTTGCAAACTTTGGATCAGGAACTGTTTCAACAAATAAAGCTCTGCAGAACCCATCACAGGGCCGATGATAAGCAACTGCAAAGAGAAATGGAAATGTCGCTGTTTTAACCAAAGTGCTGTTCGTCTCCTCACCACAGGTGTGTGAGCTGGTCCGCCTCCTTATCGAGAACTGCTGCAGCGTCCTGGGAGAAGACGTCACCTCGCTGTTCAGGAGCTTCAGCCAGAAAAGCAGCAGCAGTGACCATGGATCAGGTGAGATCTCGGATGAAGAAGATTACTTGGGCAAAGAAAGAAGAGAGGACGTTAACTTCCCTCAGAGGGCACTTTTTTATGAGTCATTCAGAAGGGCAGCTATTAAAGCTATTTTTAAAGTATTTTCAATGGAAAGAGCACCAGAGGGGGTATATTATGTTTTATTAATGCCAGGAGCATCCAAGAAGGCACTTCCCCAGCCTTTTTGAGACATGTGGACACCATTAGAAAGATGAATAGATGCCAAATAAGGAAATCAAGATCTGTGTATCAAACTTTAACCCAAATTCCCAGTTCTGTTCCTTCATCACTAGATTGATTTGGTTGGTACGTATCCCATCATTTTATCATCTTGAAATCCCAGAAGTCACATTTCTGATTCAGCTCCATTAGATAAACATGAGCAGATGACGAAAAAAGGAAGCGCATTACAGGAAGTGTTTGTGTCTGAATTCCTGTGTTTTCCCAGAAATGCAACAAAAAGGCACGTGTTATAATCCAAATGTTTCACCATGTTTGCTACAACACAAACAACTTGATGTTTTATCAAAGTGACATTTTCATTGGAAGGTTTTTGCAAGTGGAAAAATCAGGCTGTCCATAAAAGCATCAAACTGTAACTAAACTGAGGTTTCTATTCATAAAACCTGCCGGTATGTCAGCAGAGTGAAAGACGCACACAGTATTTCCCAGCAGCCTTAATACCCAACCTGCGGCCCCAGCAACAGCTCCATATCCTTACCTTCTTGTTCTCTGAAAAGTTCCCGTTGGCTGAAACCGGTTAAGTGTGTCGTCTCTTAAAATATTGCAGCTCAACAGGGATGTAATTAAATGTGTTAGGTTCCCTCAGACCCGTTGATTGGGGTCAGCAGGTCGACCTGAGGTAGTTTCAGTGATTGGCGAGGTCACGGCGTTGAATCTCCTCATTCATAAATAACATTTACTTTGTTCCCCACTCTATAAATAATCACCAGGGGTTTAAGGAGTGCACGGCAGGACAACACTTTGTGCCCTGTTCTCCTCATTTTTAGCAATGAACTATGGCTTTCTTCATTTCGAAGGAGTCAAGAAGCTTGGGTTCCCTCAGGCCGACTCCTAACCCTTTATTCAGCTGTTAGGATATTAATCGGATATTAGGAAAGTGAACTTTTGGGGTGGAACAAGAAGTCTTAACCACTACTTTTAAGTAATCTAAGTAATCTAAGTTATTGTAATGTACAGTAAGACTGAAAAAAACTAACAGTCATTCAATATAATTTTTTTTCCAGATGCGTCGTCCTTCCAGATGAACGACTCGTCCTATGACAGCCTGGAGAACGAGTTAAACGACGACCCTGAGTCCCCCTACCAGGAGCAGCTGCCCCTTCGTGACAAAGACAAGCCGGACAGCCGCAGCCGTGACTCTGTCATCACCCTCAGCGACTGTGACCCTGATCCAGACCCTGACTCCGAAATCCTGCTGCAGCTCCCCCCGCTGTCCAGACCCAGGAGGTTCAGCCCTGCTGCCCGTCAGAACCGCAACCGCCAGGCAAACGGCCAATCGCAGGGCCCAAGGAGGCTGAGGAGGAGTTCAGAGCCCGCTTTGGCAGTTGCAAACACAGCGCCGACTGGCACGGTGATGATCCACGTCGATACTGACCATGTTTCCTTGAGGAAAGCGAGTTACGATGCTGCCATGCACGGCGAGAGGGAGGAGGATGAGGTATTTCTGGAGCAGGGGCTCAACGGGCTGCAGCTGAAGGAGGAGGCAGCAGACAAATGTGAGAAGGGAGGAGTCAAAGTCCAGAGTGTTGGGCGGAGAAAGTCGAAGCATGCTCCTCCGCCTCCATTGCGTTTGGATGCAAGTTGCTCCAGCTTGTCGTCCCCGGCAACATCACCCACAGGCTCCTCCCTAAGCTCTTTAGACTCCGCCTTCTCCCAGTACTCCACTGACTACAACACCAATGGAGTGATTCCAGTGGTTGAGCCTGCTCCTGTTTCTCCTCTTTTTCCTGGACGGCCTCAGGTGTCACCCAGGGGCTCGCCTCCTCAGAGAGAAGCCCCGCCTACTTGGCCGCAGTCTACCCCGCCATCTCGGACCAGCCAAAACCCCCAGAACTCTCACGGCCTCCACCCTAACACATGGCTGAAGAAGGATCGCCGCCTGTCATTGAAGCAAAGTGAAAATGGACACGTGGAGAAGGACCCGGCAGTGGTCAATGGTAAAATCCATCCAATCAGTAACGGCTTCTCTACAAGTGACGCCATGACAACGAGCGAACACAGATCCAGCAGCCCTCCGTCCTACCAGCAGGCGCTACTGCAGCTGCAGCGCACTCGCTCACCTTTCTACAGGGGGACTGAGAAACCTCTGACAGTCAGAGAGCTGAGGCAGCTCCACGACCAGACCTGCACCTACAAACCCTCAAACAGCGCCACATCACAAACAGGAAGTGAGGTAACACAGAGGGTGGCGAAAACTGATTCCCTGCTGCCCCCACAGGGTGTTTTCTTTGGACAGAGCGCCACCACCCTGGTCCTTCAGAGGCAAAAGTCCCACTCTCTCACTCCCACCACAGAGTCGCAAAAAGGGAGAAAGACACTTCCCCTTCCCCGGCGAGCATCCGAACCTGCCAAGACCACGGCGAACTCTCACCCCTCCTCCAGCCTCACCCTGGACAGACCTCGCTCTTCTAAAGGTCAGACCCAAAACGGCGGCCTCAGAGTGTCAGAGGTGGAGCCAAACCACACAGAGCCACGCTTCTGCCTGTCTCCCTCCGCGACCCGAGCTGTCAGAGACTACTTTTCCTCCCAAGGTCAGGAGGATGCAGACGCCTGCCTGAGGAGGAGTCAGGAGGTGGCGATGGCGATCATGCAGGGGAAGAGGGAATGGCAGAGCAGGAGGTGCAGTGACCCACGGGTGGATGAGTTTGAACAGCTGTTTTTTGCAGAAGAGTCATATGTGTAAATAATAACTTTGTACAGACACACTGTAAAAAAAACTCTTTTTTCTCATCTAAATTGTGTGTACAGTTGTCTTTACTGTTGATGTTTTAACATTCAGCCAAACACACCTTTGTTTTCTGAACAGAAATCAGCCCGATAGAGATGGCTGTTGCAAATTTTTCCCATGGTACATCCAAGGTGTGAGACTTTAAAGGTACAGATACACTTTTTGTGTTCACTGTTTATCGGGAGAGTAATAATTTAAAATATTTCATGAAATAGATGTAAAAGCATTTCTTGTAATTGCCAGAATTGACCTGCCATTAGGACCCTTAAAATATTTATTGATGCTTGTTTGACTAAGCTGATACAGAGAAGATTTATTTAAAATTGGACATATGAGTCGATTTAGTCATAACAGTCCGGCGTTGCAGCTCATGTGCCAAAAATCCTGCTCCTTTGAAAATATTTTTATCTGGCAGTGTGTCCTTGTTTTTCCCCTGAATGTTTCATTGATTTTTAATAGCTTAATAAGGAAAAAGTGAAGGAAAAGAGCATCATAAAAAGATGAAAAATAAAGTACAAAGAAGCCCCTACTTCTTTAGAAGTTTCTAAAAAGAAAAGAAGAGCAATTTGATCTGCAGGCCATAGCTAAGTAACTTTTTTGTTGTCAGTTTTTACAGCAAAACATAAAATTCAACAGAGCAAAAAGCAAAATAAGACTTTTTTTTGCATTTGATGTTTTATTTTTCACCAAGATCACAAACTTTGCAGAACAAGTGTTTGTTAATGCTGCCCCCTTTAGCTGTAAGGACAACAACATGGTCATGTTACTGCTGTGACCTCATACTTATACAATGAAGATGCTTTTACCACTTAGTCAACACCACCTGTGATGTTTTCTGGAGTGCCAAAGGCGTAAAGTTTTGTATCATGTGCCCCTGCTGTACATACTTGTAACATCTTGGACTATTTTAACAACATTTATATTTTTCATCCAAGTGGTTGTATGTCTGATCTGGTGATACAACAAGGCCTGTATTTATTCATATGAGTGAGTCGTCAGACACACAGCACACAGTGTTGTCGTGTCACTCTGGTTTATGTTTGTCTGACCTGGGAAGGAGGGGAGGGACGAAAAAGTGTGTGTTTGTGTGAAAGACAGGAAGAAAGAAAGTTGAGTATAAATATAATTATTGCCAGCGTGTTCCTATGCAGGATTGTGAGAAAACTTGTGCCACTGAGGGAGAAATGTCCTTTTATTGTTGCATTTATAGCACTTCATTAATCTCACTGAGAAAATCTTTCAGTCTTAAAAGAATAACTAGGACACAGTCTGTTGTGTGTGTGTGTGTATGTGAAAGTTCACTCGAGTTGTCTAACAAAATGAAAACAGTTTTCAAACTGTTCAAAATGTCCTCATTTCACCATATTCACAATACTTCTCTAATGTCCTGCTCAGCTGAAAAACTATTTTCAAGAAGAAAATTCTGTATTTCTGTGTTTCAGGCAGCAAGGCGCAAAATATCCGAAAATAAACTTAAATTTCTGATTTGACGATAAACTGGAGAAGATGGAAGCACAGAGAGTGAAGAATCATCAGCAATTGTTCAGCTAGTTTCAGCTGTTGTCTTTCTGTCTTAGTGAAAACTAGTGTTAGCTAGCTATCAGTACTGTTAGCAAGAACTTGGCTCTGTTTTTATGATAGCATGGCGTGCTATCAAACTGTAATTCAAGTTAGGAAGCAGTATAGCACTAGCACTAGTTGCTGTAGCATTTAGACAACTTCCCTATGACAGGACTTGTAGCATAACTGAACTGAAATGTTAGCGAGGTGCTAACATCAGCTGTTGTTAGCATCGGAATACTCCCTAGCTTAAATAAGCTTAACTGTTGACTCATCAAATTTGTCGCTGACATTGAAATACAGCTGTTTTTCCTCCATTTTTTTTCTATCTATTAATGTTTCTGTTTAATTCGAGAGCCACAAAATTTACAACGAATTTTAGATATGTTGTATATGATTCTGGTCCTGTAACTCTTTAAGATTTAAAGCTGCCCACCTTGAGCATGACATCAGAGCAAATGCAAATATGGTGAATAAGAATATGATATTTGCTTCTTTTTTTAGGTGACAGTTAACACTAAACAATCTTGTTTCAGCGTGCATCGGTTGACAGTGTGAAACATAACTTTCTCAAGTATTAACACAGTGTTGAAATGAAATTAACACACGCTGGAATAAGGCCATTGTCATGTTAAGTGTTACCAACCAAAATAGTCTCATAAAGTACTTTATCCTGTATTATTTTAATGTTTTAAATGTTATCTCCATTACAGTGACTTGTGTTAACTTGTATAGTTCTCCATATTTATGATACAGAAATATCTAATTATATATAAAAATATTATCTTGTAACTTTGGTATGTTGTGTTGTGTGAGAAAATCAAATGTGTATTTTTGTACATGCCAATTCTGCTGCTGCTGTCTCAATAGAAAGTATATTTGCTACGAAACGCAACATTTGTATATTGTGTACATCTGATGTCCAATGCTCACGAGAACAAAGTTTCATTGATTTTAATAAATGTTGCTCTTGTGAAAGTACTACAAAGTCCCAGTTGAATTTTTTTTTTGGTATGACTGATATATTTTTAAAGGGTGAATGAGAAAAGATTGAAAATATGATTTCAGAGGGACATTTAGCAGTTTGATGAACTGATGCTGCATTTACTCATATATTGCACATCAACTTTTTGATAAAACATAGTCTGTAATATGATATTACCACTGTTTTTTGTTCAGCTTCAGTGAGGAACTTTCAACCAGTGTCAACTTTGGCGCGTCTCAACAAATGATTATCATGACAGCCGATGATTTGAAGCAGCGTTTACCTGTGCCCATCATTATCAATATCAATATTTCTTTTTCCTGTGATGGAGGAGTGTGTTTCTTTGTAGTTCAGACTGCTTCACACATTATTTAGAGCTCATAGTAAGACTGTGCCAGTATAGACCACAATAATAGGTGTATAGTATTCAGTGTGGAAGATACAGTAAAATAAGATAAGATAGAACAAAAATATGGTACAAGTAGGTAAATAAAAGATTACCTATCACTCATGAAATTATAAAAAGTAAAAATTTTGAGAAATAACATTTTTGACTGTAACAGTGGCTGAAAGTTGCCCCATCCCGAGGTGCCTCACGACACCTTTAACATCCTCTTCGAGTAAAAGAAGTTAGCGTTGTCCTATCACCATGGTTGTCTTTTCCAAACTGCCTCATGAAACCTTCCCTTGAACCTGTGAAGTTTTCCATCAAGGTTAAGAAAATTTGGTCAGGTAAAGACATAGGATGTCATTTTTAGAACATTTAAAAGCATCCTTTGAGGTCTGAACTTGGTGAAATAGGGGAAACACTTTTGTTCACATTCCCAAATTGTCTTAATGTCTCTAAGTTCAGAGACATTATTTCTAATAAATGCAACGATCAGCCTTGCTGCTTCAATATCTTATCCAAAATCATTTGATTGTTTAAACTGATGTCTCTTTAGTGGACCATTTAAAGATCCACTTCATCAGACAATTCCTCAGACCACAACATGCCATGTCATTTCAGCACTGAGTCCACTGGGCTATAAAGTTTGCAGTTTTATAACAGCAGGAAAACTAGAACAGCTTGAATGACCTAGAACAGTAAACCTTAAGCTTAGGCGGCTTTTTAAAGTGTTTTGTTTTTACCCTGTATTATTTTCCACAAAGTTAAAGAGACCTGCAGTTTGTGAAATGATCTCTACTGACAGCTGTCAGTTAACATTAAAAAAATCGGTGTTTTCAGGCTTGGTTTTGCTCTGAAAACTTGAGATATCTGGCGACTTTGAGAGTCACAATGCTGGGGTGCAGGAGGATTACACAATCCCCAAGGTTTATGAAATAATTTATGCAGGGTTTCTTGGTTCCTCACTGACTGCGGTCAGAAAACCAAAAGTTTGTTTAAGCCTTTTGATTTATGAGCAAAAACCTGATATGGAAATTTACTGCCTGGAAAGTTTGAAAGCAAAATGTACAAACACAAGAATCAACTGTGGCTTTGTAATTGTTTTTCTAACGTTAATTTATAATCTCCCTCTAAAAGCCATAAACGCACAGTTCAACAAGAAGCAGAACATCAGCAGTTGGGGTGAGCTCATATTTATTCTCTTGGATGTCAAAAGCAGCAGAATTATAGAGTGTATCATGAAGAGCCTCAGATTCGTACACTTGCATGTCTCATTTGGTGCATATTTTCCACATGAAGATTTACTTGTTGTTTACTGATGTGGCTCTGATGCTCCTCAGGTTGCTCTGTAGTTTAGGTGATGTAAACCAAACACATCTTTGTTGCATAATAGGAATGTCTCCATTAAAAAGCCCAAACTTAGACTTCACAACACTTTCCTTACAACACTGTGTTGAGGTGTTTGTTCTCCATGGATGTGTGCAGCAGGTAATGACAGAGTGCATGTCTGAGCAGCTTTTATTTACCTATAACCTTTCTAATAGATGTTTTTACAGAGTTGTTAAATACCTGTCTCTTCCTAGAAAATTAAAAGAAACCCTGACACCTCCTGCTTTCCTCGGGTCATGTAGCCCTGCAAAACACTGATGTAATCTACCTCTTTACATACCTGAAGCATACATCAACTCTGTTGTTCCATGTTGATGGTTTGCTGGGGACAAATGGTAGAAATGTGGTGTGTGGTTTGAGTTCTCAACGCGAGCAGCAAAGTGTTTATCAATAATTATGAAATATGTCCTGATGTTTTATGATCTTGAATTTTAAGTGGTAGAGAAAAAAAACGGTGATACTGATTCCCTGTATGAACTTCCGCAGAGACAAACATGACAAATGAAAGGAAAGTTCAACATAAAATGACCCACGTTGGTATTCACTCTCAAAGTAGAACTTAATGAGATTGAACAAATGGACGTGTGCCTTGAAGAGTAGTAATGTAGTAGTTTCACCAGCCCATAGCAGTGGAAAAAAGTGACTGAGTCTGAAAAAAATGATGTTGATTTACCAGTCCATCTGTGATCAATTTCTAACACTGAGGTCCAAAGCTTTCAGAAAAGGTCTAAAATATAAAACATGAAAAACAAGCTATAAAATGAGTTTGCTGCCTGAATGGATTTCAAATGGATGGATGGATGAATGAAGGACTGATAAATTAGAGCAGGTAGAATAAATGGATATATGGATGATCAATGGATGGAAAATTGCTAGATGACTGATGGATGGGTGATGCATAGATGATCAATATGAACCTGATCATCAGTGGATAGATGGATTGATGGATGAGTAGACAGATAAATGATGGATGGGAAAAAATAGTGGATGATTCAATGGGTAGATGATTGGATTAATCTGTGGATGACCTGATATAAAGACGATTGGAATGATTGATGGATATTTAAGATCTATAAATACAGTTGGAAACTGTGTTGAAATAAAAGCTTTGTCTTCATAGATGTGCTTCTTTCTTGTTGTGTCAGTAGTTTAACCAAACTCTTGACCCCTTCTGTGATCTGCCATGATCCTCTTTGTTGGTGTCACAAGGTATGTTTGAAGGCCTACACAGTAGATCATGGCAACTAAGTAAAACTTTGTGCTACCAAATTCCTGCTGAAGTTGAATCTGAAAAATGTATGTTGCTGTTGGGAACCAAAAAGCAAAGGCGGAATTAATGTGACAATAGCCATGTTTACGTGTGCAAAATTTCTTGATCCGATTAAAAAATTGAGGGATTAGATAATCTGAATCCACTATTTTTATGGGTGCAAAATCAAATAATCCGATCATGACGTGCGTATGAAGCTTTATTCTGATTTGAAGCATTTGGACAGGAACAGTTTTTCTAATTTCGCTAAAACAACCACAGTAGAAGCTCACTTCATCCAATTCAGGAGTTTCCCCCCTGTTAAATATTGTCACTAGATGGCGCCCTTGCGTACTTATTTTGCTGTTCTGTCAAAGGTTGCACTGTGCGTGCAGATGTGACATCATCACGCAGTATGTACCCCTGTTATGTTACCGGAAGAGCAGACACGGCACCTGTGGTTGTGTTTTTATGAGTGTTAATGAAACCTCCTGTACTGACCTCAACAATGAGCCAAAGAGCGAAGATCGCGTCAGGTAAGAGAGTCGCGATCAGAATAAGTATATACACGGACGCGTTTTGGAATAACGATCGGCATAAACCACCCCTCTCGGATTTCTTACAATTTCCTTCCGATTGAGCCGCATCGGATCAGAATCTTCCGATCGACATGTTTACATGAAGCTTGGGCATTTATTCCGATTATTGGTGCCCATGTAAACGCAGCTTTTGTGAATCTACGAATCTCAAATGCCAAATTAAGCAAAAAAATACTATGAAAACCCCTCCTAACCGATCGTATAACATTAAAATGAGACCACTCATCCCACATAAACGTTTACAATGATTAGATTTTTAGAGTAACTGAAGTATAACTTGAATAGATGACTGATGTACTCACTTATGCTCTAGAGCTGAGCCTTACTGCACAGTATGGGTGTCAGATCTGAACTAACTGTGTATGTGACTGAAGTCAGAGAAAAACTGACATTCATATCAAAGTTTATGACTTGTTACAGCATCCTGTTAAATATGAGTGATGCAGCCGTCAGGAGACACCAGCAGATCCTCTAAAAAGAACAAACTGTACTAGAAATGTCAGTGCGTTTTCTGATATATTCCCTCTGTGATGGCGGTATATTGAACTCTCTGTGTGTCCTCCGTGACCTGACAGATGATGTAAGCTGGGAGGAGAGCTGTCTTTTAAATTTTAACAGACACTGCTGGTATTTATGACCTGACATACCTGACATTTACCTGCAGGATACACCGCTCAAGCCAGAGAGCACAAGAACTCTGGCAAAGGTTGATGTTGATCTGTTTGTTAGACGCGTTTTATGGTAATTGGAGTGAAAATCATTTGTAGACATACATCAGGGTATGGGTATGGTTTAGCAGGTGTGAACATGCTTTACCTCACAGCAAGCATCTGTTTCAGAAGAAGGGTTTGTTATGGTTTCAGTTGCAAAGGTAAATCACCAAATGATAAAATAAAATATTATACAAACTAATCAAAAACTTACCAAATGTTCCTCACAGGTGTTTTAGAGTATAGTTAAATCTTAAAACTCTAGAAAGCGCCTTATGTGTTATTTTATGACTCAGAGTGAAAGAAGTGACAGATTAAAAGCAGGCTTGAAACAAAGTTAAATCATATGAGGACAGTTACATATCAGCCGGTCCAGAACCAGCCTTGAGTTGTGATGAGACTGCTCACTGATCCAGAGAGATATTTCAGTCCTGCAGCAGTTGTGGGACAATATACACTACAGCTGCACTGGCAGGTCTCTGTACCCTGTTTCCCAATCTGAAACAGAGCAAATCACAACAGGGTGAGGGGCTTGTTTCCCACTGGGGCAGCTCAATGCTCAGAAACATCGCTGTATGAGCAGAGCATGTGCTTCTGATAAAGTCAGAGATATGGACATTCTCATGTCTCAGTTAATTTGAGTTGAGTTTTGTAGGTCAGCAGTTGAA